TCAGGTACTACCCTCCTTCCAAATAGTTGAAATATTGGCCTGTCAGAAATTCTGGAACTGAAATTGCATTCCGCTTCCCGGCTATCCGTAGGATCACTTAATTTATCTTTGTAGCCCGGGCTTCCGATCCACTACAACTCCCCCAACTGAATTATTCGTACATTTCGCCAAAAACCAACCCACACAATTCTCATGTCCGAAAGACATCTCAGTGACGTCCTTCAAACGGCTTATTGTCCCAAAGACCTCCTTATGACGTCTCAGGACGTTATTTTTATATTTTCTGGGAAAATTTCAGCGTCTTTTCGCACACTCTGCCGATAAAACGGGAATAATCGCTCCAAGGAGTATCGCCGAATTTGTTTGTGAAAATCCCCCTCCTCTGATACTGACGCGCGTCGGTGCATAATCTTTCGTCGTCGGAATTTGCGAAATCGCAAAATCGCCAGCGATCGAAACGGGAGTGCGCGCGTTCTCGAAATTCCGCGACGCGGCGACCGTCAGCAGTGCCGGGGGGACATTAAAATTAACATAACGAGCCCGTTTAAATCGTCGCACACGTCGCTCGTTAAGTGTGTATTTGTTCGGCGCGCTAACGACATTACAGTTTTTGCCGAGAAAGAGAGAGAGAGAGAGTACTCGCGGTCGCCATTAGGGCGGTGCATTTTTCGCCGATGAAAAGCCTCGCTACCTCTAGAATGTCGGACGATGTCGACGGAAAAAAGAACGTGGAAGGAAAAGAAGCGCGTATGGGCGGAGAGAGGAAGGGAGGGGAGATGAAAAGAGAACGGCGAGAGAGAAGGAGGAAAAATGTGTCACCGGCAATCTGCGACTAACGAAGCCGGCATTAAAGACCGATACCAGACCACTGGAACTCCTCTCGCGGAACTTCCATCATTCGTCTCGTTTGTACGCTCCATCGCGCTTCTCAAAGGCTCCGTTTCATGACCGACATTGGCCGTGATGCTTTTCACGACTCTTCCGTGTTAATTACACCCCGGCTACAAATATTGAAAGATCACCAGTCAGCTTTCCCGGGTACCGAATGAAAGAGAGTCTCTCGAAGAGAGGTAGGAAAAGAGAGAGAAAGAGAGAGAGAGAGAGAGGGCTTGCGCTCTGCCCACTTTTCATCAGATAAGCATTACGAAGTTTCAGCCATTCAGTATGCAATATCTTCTCTCGGCAATATAGTAGAGAAGAAAAGCACCATGGTAAACTGACATACTCACATTTCTCAGCTGTAAAGTATTGAACTCTCTCAGACGGAACATGAACTTCTATGCTAAATCGATCAGTAATATAATATCCTTACAGTCTTATACCATGTACAGTAGTGGTACAGAAAGATTACTGCTGGTTTGTATCCACGTACATCAATTTTACTTTTACACCTTCAAGAGGGCTTTAGAGTCGAAAAGCAAAATGGTATGTCTCGGTTTCGATGCTCTTCCTCTACACATCAATGGTGACTATGTCCAGCCATCGTTTACGCGGCCTGATGAGAGCGAATATCGCATTTTGCGTACTCAACTCGCGAAAATCGCGGACGTCTCCGCGATCTTCCTCTCATCCCCCGCGCGAGACTCGCTCCACTTCGGACGGCAAATTACCGGCACTCTCTTCGAACGGGAATAATTTACCATTACGCGATTTGGAGAATCGTCCGGCCGCATTAAGCGCGATTCCATTATCGGCTGAAAAGAGGGACGACGGCGAAGGGGGAGAAGGGAGGATCGAAGCTTCAAAGAGCGCGGGGCCTCCGACTGGCCGATAATCCCCGTCGGCAAACGTAACGGCGAGTGTACACTTTGAACGAGCTTGTTAGACCCATAAATATCGGTATCTTCATTGCCAGGGTGGCGTCCTGCTATCTCGTAATGGATTCCATAACGGACGTTGCACACGTGCTGTGCTGGCCCGGCCGTGTCGTACGTAAACCTGGCGCGCGGTCTTTTACGAGCCCGCCCGTTACAATCCACCGGCCAACCTAAATGCAAACGTAGCCTTAATTAAACGGCCGCCCTGCAGGTAATTGATCGTATCCTTAATCGGATCGTTTTTCCCGGCCGTCTCGGGGATGTGGGACGACACCAGCGAGTACGCGCGCACGTAGCTGAAGATACGTTTGATCCACGCGAAGCGATATCGCGCCCCCGCCGTTTCACATTTATTTCAGTAGACCCAAGATGCGGGGCTCCGTAGAGATTCGCATATTTGCAGCGTGGTACGCGGTGACGTAAAGTACAGACGCAGCATTTCTTGCGCCGGCGGACTGTCGTATCGATGATTCTGTCGCTTCGCATCGCTTCGTTTAGCCACGAGTACACCGCCGAGCCATGATTAATTAATAACCCGTTAGTACGTTCCCAGTCGCTCCCCAAATCTGAGAAAGTTAGCACGGAAATCATATTTCCGTAGCCATCTGTTAGTCACTAATCAATATCGCGCTTGATGTCGGAGTAATTAAAGATTATTTTCATAGTCGAAGATCAGTCGGGTAGTTTTAATGAAACGCTTCTAATAACACCAGAAAACACCAAGCCCGACGTACTATTTTGTTCGCAGGCTGTGGAAAGTGTGAAATTAAAATTTGTACGCAAATCTATGCAAAGCGACATTCTTCTATTGAAATATATTATAGTTTTTCGAAAATTATTACACACTGTCTTTCGGGTAACTACTTTTTGAGAAGTTGGAGGAATGTCGCTTTGAGAAAGTAAACCAAAGCCGACATATCCATGATATTTATACCAGTAAATTGCCCGAAAAAATGAAGTAAAAACGCTGAAATGATGTACATTATTTTTATATTTATTATATCCTCTCTTACATATATGTTAATATTGCAGGATTTTTTTTTTATTCGCGTTAAAATTCACATTCCCCTCTCTCTCTCTCTCTTCTAATCCAAAGAAATCTCTTATCGCAGTAAGCTAATTTACAGTAATTACATTATAATTAAGAACGGCAGACGCGCAGTGATTTTCTCATATTGAGTCGGTTAATCTCCGAATGTATTCGCCTTTAATGTGCGGTCGTTAAGGAAGCTTATCGTGGCAATTCGTAATCGCTCTTCGAGCGGCAGGAGACTCGACAGTCACTCTTCGGTCAACATTTCCCAAAGTGCAGCCGCCTTGTCATCAGCCATGATCTTAATTGTAACAGCCCCGTACGCAGCGGCGCGGTGTACACGCGGGTGACACGGTGACACGGGAAAGTGTGTCCACGTGTCCGTCGTGAAATCCGCCGTCCAATTTCACGAGAGGCGTTTAGCGAACGATCGGGGAATCCATTGAACGGGAGTCCGGCCTACAATTCCGAAACGATTCCGACAATGGCCGGGTCCTCTCTCGGGGAAGAGTGACACTGTGTGACTCCAGACAATAACGCGGCAAACGTAAATTACCCTTTGCAAGGTGGTGACCGGGAAGGCCCGATTTGAATAGCGAGCAAAGTGAACAATAACGCGCGATATGTCGGCCGGATCGAGTCAATATCCGGTGGAAGGTGGGTCATTCCTAGCGTGGAGCTCGTTTCACATTGATTTCCAGCTTAAAAAGCGTTCGAATTTCCGCGACATTCGCGACGATAACGAGTCTCGGCGGACTTGTAGGATTCCTGTAGAAAGGGATCGTTCGAATCGTTGAGACGAGTGTCTTTACTAGTGCGGTTGTAACGATCATTTAAAAAAGTTGTGAAGTTCAGCGTCGCATTTTTAGTAGCGTATCAGTGGAACCGCACATAAATTTAATATCTATCAAGCAAAATTAAGTTTCTACGCATCTATTTCACTACCTAAATGATAAATTAATTTAAAACGAAAAGCTGAGATAAACATATTTGCATAATATTACAAATGTGAAAATATTTTACTTTTCTTATTAATGCTATATTTATGCGTAAATCGATCTAATCGAGATGCACAGGTAATAGAAAGAGATATATAAATGTTTAAATATACATACATGTGTACATATGTATGCGTATATGTGTGTGTGTGTGTGTGTGTGTGTGCATACGTGTAAATAGAGAATTTAGGAGTATGGGTTTACAACGAAGATGCGTAATATCCGCAAACACCTGTCGTTAACTCTTGCTCGAGAACTTGCTGCTTTGCCGTGATCTAGCTTTGAGCTCTCAACGAATCGAATTCTACTGAAATGGACTTGTTTGTAGTCGTTGGCACTTTGATCGATATTAAGTGAAACAGCGTTCTGCTTTACGATACGAGCGCGTCCGTTTTAAATGTCAACAACGCACACAACGTGTGCGACACAGTTGCGTTAAAATTAAAGTTCCAAAATCAAACAATTGCTTCTGCGATCGCAAACGCCAGCGAATTTCGCCGATGCGCGACGCAAACCGCTCGTCGGGAAGCACACGTGCTCGTTTATACATGCGTGTGTGTGCTCACGCATATTTCGGAAGCGTGTGTCCTTCGTGTGAGTGCCGCGAAAATTATGACCGACAGGATACATTCCGCGAAAGCCGCTGCGGCAGTTGAAATATGCACGCAGTGCGGCGCCGTGTTGCACAGAACATCGCGACAGAAAGTAATTGTTCCTATTGTAGCTTGCTACCGGATATTAGGCCATACGTCGCCCCGACGGAAGCGATAAATCGGACGCCTGCTCGAAGAAGTCGAAATTTCGATCGAACCGGAGTCTCTGTTTCTCTCGACGACTACGACGGGTCGTCCGTCGTATGATTTCCAACGTCGTGTGGTACCGAAAACTTCGACTCGGAATTGCGTTTATCTTGTAGATCTACTTGATTGCCTCACCGGCACAATGTAGCTCTCGTGACGAATGGAAATTAAGTTGGGAACTTCGGCCTTCGAGGAATTCTGTTTAATTTGCAATTTGCACGTCCAGCTGCTCGAAACTCGGTGTCGCGATGACAACTGCGAGAGAGAGAGAGAGAGCGCGGAAAGACACGCGAAGTGGATGCATATCCTCTCGCTGGACGTGTCGCACGTGAAAAATGTTGTCAACTTTCAGAGAGCACATTCCGAGTGACGCTGCAGAAGAGCAGTCGCGGCCTCGGCCTGAGCCTCTCCGGCGGCGGTACTGCCGGCCCGGTCAGGGTGAAAAGACTCTTCCCGCAACAACCCGCCGCCCTATCCAACAAACTTCAGTCCGGCGATATATTATTGGCGGCCAATGGGATCCCGCTGACCGGCCTCACCAATTATGTGAGTAATCAATCAATCTCTGGGCTAGAATTAAAAATGCAACGGCGGAAAATCGATAGTTAATAGTCGGTATAGTTTGTTCGTTGATTGAAAGCAAACCAAGAACGATAAATAAAAATGTACAACCCCCAATTAAAACGGAAGGGAAAATATTTCCCCTTCGGATATGTTCTTTCTCGCGAACGAGTAAGAAAGTATAAACAATGTTTAAAATTTATTAAACGGGAAGGTGGTTTCAACGGCCCTCGTAAGTATAACGTCCCTTATTAATATCTCCGCTTTTAGAGGGAGAATTCTTTACTTATGGAATCATTTATTTAGCAGCTTGCCGTTACGCAGCAGCACTAATAGCCTGCGTTTGTTATGATGCATTTCTACTCTCGAGCATTTCGAAACGTTTTCAAGATACTTTTAGCGTTTAATTACACATGCTTCTTCATTCTTCTTAAACTTGGGCGCATTATCGTGTTTCGTTCGTTATTTATGATATTTCGGCTGTTGCAACACCGTTTAACTCACATAGGTTTTAAAACAATAGAGGATATCCACGAAAATCTGTCGATGACTTTATTCATTCGTAACCGCCAACTTTCTGTCGTGATGGATAGATAATATAAGGTCATTGGTACACGGCGAAAACAAATTTTGCTAGAACAGCAAATGTTGTCGATATAGTGACAGCAAAAAGAAATTTGTTTAGACAGCCGAAAATTGCTATTTGCTGTATATATGAACAATTAATACTCTTAACAAATCTTTCTACCGTATAAACAAATCTTTCGCTGTCTAAACAAATTTTTTTTGCTGTCACTATATCGACAAACATTTGTTGGTCTAGCAAAATTTGTTTCCTCTATGTAGCAACGGGGATTATTTCAATATTTAAAACTGTTCACCTTTCATTGATAAATAAGTCCACGATTCCCGGTAACACCGAAAGCACCGAATTAATTGACACGCTAGACTCGATCTTTATTGGCGAAATTTACAATTGCTCGCGTATCGTCAACGTGTCGGATAACAACGTCCGCTTTCGAAGGGGAAGTAAGTAATGCACTGACGTTTCCATTGAACGGACTTTATCGATATTAGTTATCCGCTCGCAAGTAATGCCTACTACTACGGTCGGACCGGCGGTCTCAGCCTCTTCTCGCGGCTCTCGAGGATTTGCATTGGATTAGCATAATACAGCTACGCCTGCGAGCCTCTACGAGGATAGACGTTATCTCACGTGTACTTGGCAGGTTGTCCCGCGAGGGCAAAAGCAATACCGCCGGTACGCAAACGCGTATACTTGCTCGTAAACTCGCGCAACTGCGCTCGCTCTTATATTCCGCCCGCGAAAATGCGTCAGCTCGACCGACCGGAGATGCTAAAACGTTGACTCCGTCTTAATTCAATTGCGCTGCTCTACTCCGCGGGACATCAACCGCAAACAGCAGTTTTATCGCGTTAACCGCGTCTGCGAGCGTCGCCGCCGCGGCGGTTTCCAAGCGAAATCGCACTCGCCACTTGTTAAACATGATCTTGGCGAAACTAAAGAAGGGAAAGCGCATTCGAAGTGATAATGAAAAGTACACAAGAGCTCACACTTTCCAAGTGTCGTGGAAAAATTCCCGAGTACTTCTCTTGTTGACACGACCTTTCTCTCTTGTGCACACTATTTTAACTATTTCGACGTTCGGCTTTTTTCGAGAGTTGAGATGTATCTTGTTTAATTATTTTTCAAGATTTTCGAATTTATTGAATACGAAAGTAATATCGAAACGCAGAGATTTTTAATGTTGGGTCCAATATGACGGTTGCAAGAAATAAGGCATGAAAAACTCGAAAGAGAAATATTTGACAGATGATTAGACATGCTATATGAAAATCAACACATTTGTGATAATTAATTTCTACATTATATTATTTAATAATATTATATTAATGAATATACAATTTATCAATAAAATTGGGCATTCACTGATAACAAAATATACATTGGGAAAGACGACCTAGGAAATATCAAAAGTTGTCTGTATCAATCAATAACATTCCTCTATCAAAATCTATTTCCTATATCACATCCCGGTAAGCGAGGAATTATTAACGCAACGTTATTCCACAACGATATTTTGTAACATGTTAAATTAATACAAAAATTTGAGTTTGGACCGCTTGGGACACATGAAGAATGTTAAATTTAATACAAAATTTTTTTCCTTGCGCATATTTAAGGAGAAATACCAAGTATCGGATTAATTTTCCTCGGAATGTCCGTCTCGAGCACTTACTTACTCGTTTCCTACGCGTTATCGGATTTTACTCGAAGACCCCGTTACAATTTAATTTCATGTCCGTCGCGAGCCGCAACCGGAGGCTCGAAACTGCCTGCTGTCACGGCTTTTTAAATCGCTGGAAGCCATAACGTTCTTTGAAGTGGATAACGCGGTGACTTCGGACACTCGCATTATCTACATGCATGGTTGGCGCAGAGAGAATGAGAGAGAGCCGCATACGTAATCTTATTTCGATGCTACTTGTTGCAGGAGGCTCTCGAAGTTCTGCGTACGACGCCCAGCACGGTCGAGTTGGTGGTGTGTCGGCTTCCAGGAGATAGCAATGTCACACCACCCGGCGCACCACCGCCACCCCCGGCAAGACGTGAGCCGCCACCGCCGCTACGTATACTCAACCCTCTGCCGCCCCTGCAGATCGAGCCCTGCGGCGTAAGTAACGCTCCTAAACAGAGCTCCCATGAATGTATATACACGCTTGTTTGCCACGTCTGTCTACGAGCTATCGAATGAATGTATAATTTGGTAACACGACGTATCAACCGGTCGGGTTGAATCCTAAAACAGAGAGAGGGAAAGAGAGAGAAGGGTGCCTTAAATTAATCCTGTGAACAAGCGACGACAGGATACTGCGATTTCCTTGAGAGATGAGAAGTGAAGGAAAAGGAAACGGCACGACGATTGAAATATCGGAGACAGCGACTTTTAACATCGTGGTTCGTACTTTCGAGCTTGCATAGCTCAGAGAAATGACTTAGTGATTACAGCTAAATCTTATTGGCTAGTTCGAACTTTGATGTCATTGCTAAAAAAAGAGTCGGCTATTAAAGGTAAGATTTATTTGCTGCGAGATGCAACTCTTCTTTTATCATCTCTTTTTTATTATCTGAAATTATTAGCACGAATAGTTGTAAGATTGGTTAGCTGTGTGTGAACGGCGACAGGCAGGTAGCGATTTATTAGTCCCACGATATTTCAAAAGGGGTAATAATATTGTGGTTTCTGGTAACGTGGATAAACAGGACGACTATCAAACTAATCATTCGAACGGCCGTGGTTCATCGATATTTACGCTCGTCGATAATGAGCGGATAATACGGATGTTAAATTTTATACAAAGACAAATTACCGATAGCGCGTGTGATTATCGCGCAGGAATAGTATCAGCGGTTGATGATGTAGAAATGACAGAATGTTCGGCTTGTCGCAGCGCGCTGGCAAATAATTATTCATAAGCTCCGTCACTTGACTACGCCCCGGCGTTCCAGGAGAAATACGAGCAAGACCGAGCGATCGATCGATTTGATTAATAAGCCAGGGCTAAATTAATAACTCGGTTAAAGCGTATTATAACTTATCTCCGTCGAACAACTAAATCGGTGACTAACGGGGAAAAGGGGGAGAATTCTGTTTATAGAGTGTGCGCCATCCTGCGAAACTTGGGAGGCAGCGCGGGTCGAAAATTTCATTCGAGGTGATGCTCGCGACAAAATGAAACCACAGATAGTATCCCGTCGCCACTTCGGTATTCAGATCCCGGGGGAACCCTTGATATCGATTCGCGGCGGATAATATTCATAAACAATAGTCAATACATACATACGACCGTTTGTTGCCGCTCACAGCGGCTCACTGACGGGAAATGTAAAGCACGCGACGCGAGAAATTCTGCGCTTAGAATACACGCGTATATGTCGTCAATAAATAGCCGGAAATTGGTGGAACTTTTACGTTTTTAATCTATCTTTCCTTATGACTTGTGTGTTCTTACGTTAATTCTATATCAAACGAGGACGATCAAAATGAGGATACAGAAGCCTTGACGCAGCATTATATCTTATTAAATCAGAGACGGTATATTGAGATAAATGTTTAATCTCTCTGTCTTTCTTTCTCTCTCCGACCTTTAATTCTATAGATTCAATTTTAATACTAAGATTCTACTGTGAAATAAATCCTCTTGAAACTAAAAACAGTGAAAACGAAATTAAAGGCATCACAATAAAGTAGGATCAATATAGGAATCAATTATAGCATCAGAATTGAACCTGTTTCGCCATCTTAGCTCTCCTACTATATTGTAGAATTAAAGATTTAACCTAGGGCTAAAATTTCGACCGGGGAACATTCGGCTGAGTTCAAACTCGGTTGCGAGCAACTGAGAGAGCAATTGGCTGTGTGGAAACCCCCCAGAGGAATGTTTCCGTTCGCACAAGCGAGTTTTCGTCTGGTCGCTCCCGAAAAACCCGGAAAATTCAGTCACACCGGACAGAATTGTTTTTCCCGCGATGATGAATACTTCCGTCACGGATGTAAACGCTCTTTGCAGGAATTCGATATCGAGATGACGAAGGTCGGCGGCAGCCTCGGCTTCACCCTCCGGAAGGCGGACAGCAGCGCCCTAGGCCACTATGTGCGAGCGCTGGTGCGGGAGCCGGCGCTCAGCGACGGCAGGATCCGGCCGGGCGACAAGATTGTCGCGGTGGATGGCGCACCGTTGTCACCGATGACTCACGAGGAAGCGGTCCAGCTCCTGCGGCAATGCGGCCCGACGGTGAAGCTGCGGTTGTACCGCGATCTGGCGCAGACCCCGGTCTCGGCGCTATCGCCCACCGAGCCTGATCATCCTCTCCGTCCACCGCGAACGAGCTTGAGGTATCTCGTCAAATCTCGGTTTGTTTGTTGTCACGACACAGCGTCATTGAAAATACCATTCGGTCGAATGAGCGCCACGATCGAGTAAAAACGATATGGTCAGAGGATAGAAAGGTCAAAGGTGGAAAATAATTAGCGACGTTTTAATAGAAGATATGTCAAATTTTCTAATACCATTCGCAAGAGACGTTATCGTTCCTACCTGCCTGGTCCTTTTCTCGAGTCGTTTGTACCTCGAATGATTTGGAATTGTAATACTTCCAAAATCCATCATGAAAAGATAGATATATATATATATATATATATTCATTAATTGAATCGATTTTGTTGGAAGAGAGAGAGAAATATTATACCGAACTAATTTCACGCATAGAAATGCATGCCTGTGAATCTCTTGAATGGTAGAGATCCATTTACAACGTTATTGGAATACAATTCTTTCTGAAATACGTGATTAAGCGCACTTGCAGAATCCCGATCTGCAGTTTAATTAATGAGACACCTGATATCGAAAGTATATCAAGTCGTAGAAGGAAAGGAGAAGGGGAGAAAATCGTTCGCTATCAAAGCGGAAACGGATGAAACGTCGATAGCCCGTGAACACGTCAGTATTTAACAAAAATTTACGGAAATATATCTTAGCTTTGTGCCACCGCCCTTTTATCTCAGAACTTTTGTCCGGGTTTTATTTTGATCTGTCGATTTATCAAAGGATATTTGATATCCGGCGAATGTAATTTTTTTTTAACTTTATCTCCCGCGGATATCCCTTTATGCTACATGCAGAACCCGCGCGATTGGCTTTTTCGGTCGAACGCAGCCGAACATACGGAATCAATTTATTCGTCCCGTTCGAGCTTAACGGGAAAATATCGTCGATAAAAGATCGCGGACTCTGATTTCGCCCCCGACGTTCGCGTTTCGCTTTAAATTACTTACCAAGAACGCCGGCCCGAAGTACGAACGCTCAATGTTTCCAGCGATAACTTATGTTGCTGTTACTTACACGATACTTCCCGGTAGACAAGAAGCCGTGGATATGCTGTGTGATTTAGCGGTACGAAAGCTGTCACCGGGTACGTCGAGCGGATCCAGCTGCAAGCAACAATCGCCCGGCGCATCTTGCAATTCCCCCCGAAGGCTGCGCCGACTGGCCACGCGCACCCCTACTGCCGAAACCGATCAAGGTAGGATCAAGTAATTCGTTGGTAACACGTACGCGACAGTGTTTGCCGGTATTTAGATAAAATTATCTAAAAAATTATTCAGATGAATAGATCATATTTGTCTTCATCCAAATGGAAGAGATACAAAATATATTTATCTTCGTCTTAGATAAAAAACATGTTATCTCGTCTAGAAATGATCTGTATTGATGTTATGATCCATATTCCGAATTCATTTTTCGGTCAAATGAATGAAATAATATGGGCTTATACGTTAAGCCCGTATCAGACTGGAGATTGGAGATTTCAACGAATCAATCAATTTCTGTTTTTGCCTCCTTTGGTCTGTTCTTTTCAGCTGCACTGCTGAACTGGTGCAACTAAAAAGAACGGACCATTTGTTTCAATTGATTAATCCACTTTAAGCCCGGATCAAACTGTCGACTGTGAGCAATCAATGATTATTGGTCTTTTTTGTTAGATCCTTAAATTTAAAGCGATTACGTTGACGAATTACTTAACCGTTGTGCAATTTTATGATCTACGTGATTTTTATTATAAATTTTTGTAAAGTCTCTCTCATAAAAACAATATCATCTAAATAATTATCTAGATAAGTAACGCTACTTGTATTACCGTCATCGAGATAAATCAAAAGCAAAATCATCTTTATCTCGTGTAAGATGAATTGTTCGAATTTTCATCTAGATGAATCTGAAATCATCCAAGGCAAACACTGTACACGAATGATTTCAAGTAGAAGTGTGGGTTAACATAAAGCTAAGAGTATCTGGAATACTATCAATTGAAAGGAATTCAAAGCTTCGTAAAAATAAATAGTGCTCTCTGGATTTCTTAGAGTCTCACTAAAAATAAGTGAAAGGTGGCGGTATTTTCACTCGAAGCGATAATGGAAATATCGCAGCTTGAAATCGCAAGAGTGGATGTTTCACTCCAAGCTTAGAGCGGATCCCGATTATATATATGAGTATGTAGAATGTCCCAATCGATTGGAGTGAATCTGTGACGGCGGAATACGTTGGCTTCGCTCTTTAGTTTCGAGTGAAAATATCTACGTGACGTCTCAGGATCGGGAAATTCACTCGACAATTACATGAACGGTCTATTATCAGACCTCGTAAGTTTTATACAAATGTTATCGAGCGTGATCGCGGCTCGTAAACCTCCCTCGAATCCGCACAAATCGGAAGGGTAGCGGAAATTGGCTGTCGCGTTGGTCGAAGGCTGCTGCCGGTAACGTTAAAGCAGCAGAGAGGGAGAGCATTGATCACGAACCGCGAAGGGATTAGGTAGGATCCCCGAGGTGATGAGTTCTCGGACAAGTTCTCACGACAGCGGCACTCTCCGCAGAAAGCCCGGAGAAGTCGCACGAAGCCGTGCAAACGGTGTCGACGGCCAGCCAAGCGGAGACGTCGGACTCGGACCAGTGCTCGATACGGACGCAGATCACCAATTCCCAGGCGAACACACCTGCGACCGACATAATCGATCCGCCGCCGCTCTACGACGTCTGCGACGAGACATGCGACGGTTCAGCGACGAGACGGTCCAGCAACGGCGCCGCGGCCAGACCGAGTTTCCTCGACCTTTCGGCGCCGCAGGGCAAGCCGCACTTCCAGTTCTGCAGCGTCGACTCGGACGGTGAGTACCCGGAGGACGGCGTCATCCTCGCCGAGGCGGAGCACGGCCGGCTGGCTGAGCCGAGCTACGACGACGAGCGCAGCGTGATGATACTGTCGAGCGACGACCACGACAACGACCTGCCGTCCGAGCCGGCCTCGATGCCGCCGGTGCTCTCGTCCACCAGCAGCACCAGCACCGCCGCCTTCAGCTACAAGAATCCGGCCTATCAGAGCGCCAATCCGGCCTGTGGCACCAGCAGCGACCCGGCCGGCTCCAAGAGCAAGGCCACGCACTCCAGCGACCAGGACATACCAGGTATGTGTGATTCTTCTTCTTCAATTTATTCATGGCCCCGGCTACCCTTGCGCGTGGAAAGAAAAGCGTTCGACTAAACTAGGGAATTATTTTAATCTCAGCGAACTTTTACTCAGACCGAGTAATATTTACTTGATCCAAATAAGATGTTTTCCAAGTAAATTGTCCAAGTAACATTTACTCAATCCGACCAAAATTTATTTACTTAAAATAACTGAATTTAAGTGAACGAATTTTTATAAAAAACGATTATGGGTAGAGATTGTTGGAGAGAGATGGATAAAGTAGGTGGAAATTATATCAATTAATCCATTACGGAACCCATTAAAGTTAATTATAGGATTACCAAGTTTATAACTAAAGAGGATGTTTCTGGCACATCTAACGGAACACGCCCTTAGTTATTTAATTAGACGATTAGTTAGACAGTGAAATTAGATAGCGGAGATTAAACTGGATTCGGTTTCTGCAAGTATGCATTAAAAAAAAATACGGTGCGGTTCGCTAACGAACGAAATCACGGGAGCACGTGTGCGCACCATGACCGCCAAACAAAGACTCCGCCAGGTAATTCGGAATTGGGTTCTCCCCGTTACTCGTTTTGTTCGTTCGAGGGGATAACTCGATTTAAGATTAGAATCGGTTCTTTGTGATCAGTCAACGTAAATTTCCGCTCGCTCTCGCTTTATCTCCCGCGGACACTCGATATTCGCTGGCCATTCATTTCTCGTTCGGTCTTTGGCCAGTGGATATCAAGCGACAATAAGATTACAATCGGTGCGGTAATTTCCCACTGAATAATTTAAGTGCGACATAACACATGTGTGTTACAGAGTTACACCGTTGAATGGCATTGAAATTTTATAATATTAATGTATCGTTACTTTAGCATTTATCGAACGCTTAAATACCTCAAACAACCGTTAACTCAATTTCGCTATATCATTAACGTATATTTATTTTGTCGGTAAATTTGTGAAATTTGTGAATTATGAATCATGGTTAGATCGATTAATATCATTACTGTTTTCGAAAATCAGCTCCAGTATGGGTGGGTGCTACGTGTATGCGCGATCCAACTCGTGTTACCTTATCGGGAGCAAGTGGAGAGGGCAAGAACGATAAGATAACAGTCAAATCGCGGCGAAAGCCGTCGAGATCAATTTGCGCCGTCAATTTGCGGTAACTTCCATTCGGTGATCTCGATTTTTCGATCGCGTTGCGCAGGAAAAGTTTTGGGAACCGACGACCCGGGCGGCAGCAAAGGGCTATTGAAGTGGAAAGGCGTGATGTTCGCCCCGGACGACGAGGTGGATCGGACCAAGCACGAGGAGGAAGCCGGCAAGGACGTTACGGATGCGGTCGCTCCCGTCGAAGACCTTGAACAAGGCAGCGAGGTGAGTCTCCGCGGAACTTCAATCCGATAGATGAGGTGACGTTTTTCAAATACGAATCTCGCGATGAATAGTCCATTTGACCAAGACACTGGATATATATGTGTTTTATTATTTTGTTATATATATATATATGCATATATCTGAAATGTTTTCCTTAAAACGCGGAGAAAAATGATTAGTTGAATTAATATGACAGTGAACAAACCAAAGGCATTTTCATTAAAAGAAACGGAGTTTCTAATTCTCAATTCCAAACCAAATTCGCTTGTAAGAACCAGACATTCATTGTTGTTCATTATCATGTTAATTTATTAACCAATCTCTCTTCTCCGTGAATAACCCCTAAAATGCACTCTGGGAGTTTATCGGTTTCCTCGCGGAACACCGGCATCGCAATGTTGCGCAATCCGCTGTTTTAGGTGTTCATGGTGGAGCTGACGCGTGGGTGGAACAGTCGGCTGGGCTTTAGCTTGCAGCCGGAAGGGAATCGTACGGTGATATCGGTCGTGCATCCCGACAGCGTCGCGGCCAAGGATGGCAGGCTTAAGCAGGGCGACGTCTTGATGATGGTGAGTATCTGTCGAGCCAGTCTCGTCTTAATTTCAGTCTTAGGGCGACTTTCACCAAACTCTTCCAATTAAGCTAATTGACGATGTCAAATTGCCGCTCCAGTCTCAACCTGTTACCTGTTCTATCTTGCTAACACGAATAGAAATTATCAGCTTTTCGATGATCGCGGAACGAGTTACAGAACTGGAAATTGATATTGGCAATTTTTGGTTATTATTGTTCGATCGATTAGCTTAGTTGGAAAGAGTTTGGTGAAAGTTACCTTTAATCTTAGTTTCATCTTCGTGGAGCACACTTTCGAAGACCGCTGTCGTATATATGACGAAATTATGAAATTATGAAATTCAAATATCTCGCTGCGTTGTGCAGCGTGGAGAACATTCACGTTATTACAGCACTGAGAGAAATTATAATTATTTTCAGCCTCAACTATATACCTTCTTTATACTTTTAACCACAAAAATTGTAGGAGCAACATGCACGTCAAGTTATTATCAGTGACACTAATAATAACACTCACTAGAGAAAAATGGTTCTCCTAACTATAACTCTTTCAAATATCAAGTGGTTTTTCTCTCGATGAACGCGTATGAGTAACCTTACCCCGTGTTGAAAGCTTCTTGTCACTTAGAATTATGTAATAATTTAAGTTATAATTCATTATGTCACTGCCGTCTGACGCGCTTCGTATCTGATTTCGTGGTTTCTTCTCTTCTTTCGCCAGGTTAACGAGGAGAGCGTGGAACACATGTCGACGGCTGATATAATAGACCTGTTACGCAAGATACGCGGCTCGATCGGCATCACCGTGATGAGGAAATCCAAACGAGATAATGTAACGTGACGCTAGTCCGACTTGTGATCGAAATGTGTTTCATAGGGAAAATCATAAAAAGAAGGAAGATCTGGTCGTTATATTCCTTATCGGCGGACAATGACGAGTTCAAGTTCAGGCATGAGTCTAACGAGAAGGAAGGGAGGCAGAGTAAGTAAATCCGTCACCGTCAGCGACGAAGATTACGGATTGTATCCGTGAAGAAGCGGGATAATCTCGTTGTATTTGGAATGGCAATGTGAATGCCTGTGCGAGGAAAAAAGAAAGAGGATCGTCTTGGTCAATTACAAAAGACTGCCGTCGAAAAATGCGACGCGGTGAAAACGCCATCCAGATAATTTTCGGATGATCACGTCGGCTGAAGATAAGCGGTCACTTATTCTCGCGGGAATCCTCCGGTACACCACAGAGATTTACTCCCGTATTAATAGCAGTTACTTGAAACTCAAGTTTCACGTGAAACATTCAAATTTTAATTTAGAATTAGACGCGCAAGTTTTTCAGTTGAATCACGGTTACAAACGTAATGTTACGCATATCATATAATTCGGCTGAAAAACTTATCTAACTTTGTATTCAAATCTGAATATCTTTGAGTGAGACAAGTCCCAAGTAACGCCTATTAATACACAGAAAAAAAAGTTAATGTCAATTTAAGATATAAGTATAAGCAAAAATATATAATTTTATATAAAGATGAAATTTGCTCTTACATGAAGAAATTCTATATAGTTTCACAAAAAATATATTCATGTTACTCAAGAATAACTTTCATGAGTTAAAAGGGAAAAATATTAGACGCAAAAAGAACGACATCTTCAAACTAAGGATTATATCAATTTAAAAATATAACATTTTTTTTCAATTCAATATTTTCTTCCTCTTCATTCATAAAAGCTATTCTTGAATGACAAGAATATGATACTTTTAACGGAACTGTATAAAATTTCTTCATATATAAGCCAATTTTCTTCGTATAAGATAATATATTTTTACTTATACACTATATGAGAATATGAATCTTGAATTAATATTGATTTTTTTTCGTGTGCACGGGCTTTGCAGTCGAAGGACATCGTAGATGTTACCTTGGTTGAGTTTTCAGTCGCGCGGCTTAATTTCCCGCGAATCGGTATTATTCACGAGTTACACGTTAGAACCAATATTTTAGCGTCGCCTCGTATCGGCCGTCACGTCGGAAGGACGTCCGATATGTTCATCGAATGACGATAGATTGCGCTTGTTGATAATATTTCTTGACAATTTCCGACGAAATAAGCTCTTGATAAGCTCGATAACCTCTTACTATTGATGCGTATTCGCCCGATGACAAATACAGTAATCAAACAGTCAATCAAAAAGTCCGATTACGGGAACGCAATGTCGTGAAGAGATGAACTCGAGCAGTGCGGATCGATCGATTACTCGTCGAATAAACAATTTCGTTTCTTTCGTTTATGAGACTGCGACAGATATATATATATATATATATATATATATATACATACGTGTGTATATAACTGTAAAGATCACAGTTTTTAATATGTTCGCGAGCGTGTAAAAAGAAATTCCTCCGAGAGTTAGTAGCACACCCTACATATCCTTGTAAATCGCCTATTCTATCAATAATTATCCGATAGAAAGTATACGCGCGTAGTTCTACGACAAATGAATTTAAATAACAGAGCTATCCTTAAGGGAATTCGGAGCTTATAGTGTTAAATTTTATTTTCCCCCTGGGTATACATAAAACGTCGTTTAACTTAAGATTAATGTTAAAGTAAGACCCCAAACATTTGCCACGAAAATGCGCAACGGTAATCCCAATTTTCCTTCGAAGGTACAACGTTGCTGAAACAGCTGTTGCGTACACACTATATTTTTATTCCACAAAACGTAACTTTTTACGAAGAGAAAGGGAGCTTGATATCTACTGTATCGCGAGTTTATATATATATATATATAACACGAAAATACGAAATAAATTTATTCTACGTGTGAAGTCTATTTCACATCAAATTACACAGAAAAGAAGTTAATATCAATTCAAGACTAATATATATATGTATATATTAGTTTTAGTAATTTTTTCATATAAACAAGTTTGATCTTTGTATAAGATTGTCTATTCTTGCTTATATATATATATATATATAATAAGATTGTCTATTCTTGCTTATATATATATATATATATATATAAGCAAGAATAGACAATCTTATACAAAGATCAAACTTGTTTATATGAAAAAATTCTATATAGTTCCATTAAGAATATCATATTCTTGTTACTCAAGAATAATTGTCATAAATTAAGAAAAAAAAGTATCCAATATAAACTAACAATAATATTACATCAATATTATTATTTCCCACTTAGCAGTATATATGTAATATAAATGTAATATTAGAAAGAAGGATATCAAACTAAGAATTGTATCAGTTTGAAGATACCGTGCTTTCTATATCCTATATTTTTCTTCTCTCAATTCGTAAAAATTATTCTTGAATGACAAGAATATGATATTTCTAGTAGAACTATACAAAGAATGTCTTCGGGTAAGAGCAAGTTTTATCTTCATATATTAGAAAACGAGTCCTGAATCGATATTAATTTTTTTCCCCATGTAAAGGTATCGTCGTATGGCAGTTAATTGAGCATTTCGGCGTTTTAGCCGTATTAATATTAGGCAAAAGAATACGCAACCGATATGATATTCATATTTAATAACCTGTGGATAATTCTCCGGCAGAGTTTTCTCATTAACCAACAGAAGAAACGAATATAATCTATTTTCGGAAATTTCCCCTCGACTAACTTATAATAATTGATGAAAGAGACGACTGGCTTTTTTAACATCGAGGGCAATCTCTTCTCGCCGTGATAATATCTCATTTCTTTCAAAGCTACTATATCTCTGGTCTCTTAACGAATCAAAAGCAATCTGTATGTGAGCGCCAAGAATCTGATCGATGAATCTGATTGACATTAAAATCAATCCATGCACCGTGACGGATTATTAACTTGTAAGGTACAATGTATCGATGGTCGAATGCATCTAATATTCGGATCTTCCTGCCATTTTCAAGAGAAGTCTGCGAAACACACCTTCCACACGGGAGATAGAAGTTAGAGCTTGCTTATATCATATTTCGGGATGGGTCGGCGATCGAGTAACTACCTCGCATGATGCCATACCACACCGGAACCGGGACTAGAATTCGTCAACTGTGCAAAAAATTCGTGTAGGAAAAATTAGGAAGGATGTCCCGCACGCGGAAAAAGGTATCTTCTGAACGTAGAAAAAGATAACAAATAAAAGAAAAAGAACAAAAGAAGACAGCAGAAACAGATGGTTAATCGTTCTATCGAGACTCGAGAGAGCGTTAAAATACTACGATACTATGGAGACATCGGACATGGGAAAATTAAAAGCGAGAGTCCGTTAAGACACGCTAACGAAATTTACCACTAGCGACCCGCCTCCTAGGCTTAGGTAGAGAAAGATTCTCATTCCTGCAGCAACGATGCGCCTTGTACGTTAAGAGTGGGAGAAGAAAATTCGCCGTACGCAGTATATAAAGCTGAATACGGACTATAACGGTGTAATAATGTTAAGTAAAGAATTAGAGACACGATATAAGATGAATGTGATAGTCGTTCCGTTAGAACGTTAGAGCGCGCCTGTAAATCTACGAAGATTACTTAGACGAGTTATCCAAGTTAATTGCGGCTGCACGGTGTGCGTATGTGTATATATACATAAAGTTAACTGTATAATTGTATAAATCGATACCAAAGTGTATTAATATCAAAGTTATGTAATATCAAAGACATATTTTACCTGTAAGCGATCGTTGAAGCAACAAGCAGCTATATTTTGACATTACGTTAAGCTTATTAAATTATTGTTAGCGCGACTGTGCGAATATATCTGAGATATATAGCGTGTAAATCGCGATCGATTTGCACCGATATCACTCTATCACTGTTGGTCTCTTTTTTTCCGTTTGGAACATATAATATATTCAATATTCAATAAAATTCAATGTCTTTGATAAAGATTTCGGTATCTTCCCTTAATGCGCGCTATATATATTAATTCATAATTACATTGAAAACGCGAATAACCGATTTACGATATCGATATTACGCAAATTTAATATTTATAGCGCTTGAGAACGAGCGTGGCATAGCAAGTAGCGCATTGGTCTATGTCAGCGGTCTCGGGTTCATTCCCGGCAGAAGCCAAAATATTTACACTCGCATCTCCTCTCGGAAGGCAATGGCAAACCACCGAGAGTATCCTTGCCAAGAAAACCTCCCTAAAAAAATAATGCCGTTCGGAACCGGCGATAAACTGTAGGTTCCGTATGCCTGTGTATTAATCAACGTGCGCACCACAGGCATATAAAAGAGGTCACCACGCTCGAACACCGGGCAACAGGATTAGGAAGATTTATAGCACTTAAATAACGATCGTATCAAACGATCTCGGAAGAAATTTACAACAGATGTTATTATGTGTAAATGTGTAAAATTACAAGATATATCTATGACACAAACAAAACAGCGGAAAGATATACAATATGATATAAAATACATGCGTCTTTGTTACGCAATTTTATTTAAAAGAGGTGGAAATACCGTCGTATCCCGTTTTCATGCATGAAAACGGAATATGACGTATTTCTACCTCTTTTTTTTTTTCTAAAAAACATTATATATATATGACAACAGTCACAAACATGTCAAAATTTCTCAACTGTAGGTTAATTACAAGAAAGTCCAAGTCTTTTTTATTCTTACATCCTACAGTATTCAACAAGATGTATAAAAGTTCATTTTCAAAATCTAATTATTTCATTTTCACGATTTAATTTGCACCATTATTTCTTTCGATTACTATTAATTTTGCTTCTCAACCTATTAGACAGTCTTTGTGCAGAACTATTTACATTCTTCGCATGAATCGTGCGCAATTGTGATTTTTGCTTTTGCGACTCCTGCTCCATCTGCATCATATTCTCACCAAGACTTTCGTTATTGAATCCGATTGTCTCGCTGAGACAAAATCTGGCTGATTTTCTGACATTCATCGACCTGTCCTCGATCCTTTCGTCGTCGCTGAACGTTAACACCATATCACGCTCCCGTTTTCGAAGAGCACTCATATTGTCACGTGATCGATTCGGCATGGATGCAACGATATTTTCTTCCACCGACTCCACGTTTTCCTTCTCAAATTTTATGTGGCCGGCCACGTATTCCTTCGTATTATGTCGCCGCGACCTCTCTGTAAAAAATTAAACCTTGCTCACAAAAATGTCCAGAAGGCGAATTTACTACAGATAAGACGTATATATGAGAACGACAGTGTGGTTTGGTGGTAGAGCGCCAGACTTGTAGCGCGGGGAGGAGAACCCGCGTTCAAGTCCATCAGATCCACGGGAATTTTATTTCAAGCTGCGCCCTCCATATATTGAGTAAAAAAGAGTGGGGACTCATATATGGGAAACTGGGGGACCCGCTTTTCGGAAGAGATGCTTTAAGCCGTTGGTCCACGCATAATCCAATAATTATTGTGTGAAACCTCACGTTTAAGAAAATACTCGCCAACCGCAATGGCAAGCGCGGCGTTTTAACACGTTTTAACACGTTCATTGCTAAGCTGGAAATTGGAATTTCGTGTGGTGGCCAAATTTTTTTTTTTTTATTTAGTTTTTATTGTGCTCAAAATAAGTTAATATATTATTTATATGCTTTTATTATTATGTACATAGGATTTATATACTCTAAATATCTATTACACGATAACGCGTAATCGGCCGTTTGGTGAGAACTCGCATCACGCGATATCGCGTGATTGGCAATGAACGTGTTAAATGCCCAATTTTCTTTCAAGTAAAATTGGGAGAGGTTTCTAATTTGCCTGATAATACGGCAAACGTTTTTCAATCAAACGTTGCAGTCAAGAGAATGTCCAGCAGTGGACGAAACAAGGCTGATGATGAGAATAATGAAGATATATATGATAAGTTTTATCTGAATATTCTACCGATACCTATAAGTTCATATCTTTAAATCTAAGAATTACATACCGATAATTTGAATGTCAGCATCATCGATGTCTATCGTATCGTATTCAATGTTTTCTACAACCGGATCTGTAACTTTACCGCTTAATTCTTCTTCCCACTTATCTCTCGAGTCCGAATGTGTATCATATTTCTCCTGATTGCATTGTATGCTATCATTCCTCTTCGCGAGTAATTCGATTCCTTTTCGGCTCTCCGATCCAGTTTTAGCAAGCTTGAAAAATGATTCTTTGGCATCGGTATTCGTTCTATTCTCTGAAACGTCACACTCTTCCACGTGAAAAACGTTTGCTGTATCATCAAGCAAATTAGAAGCTACTTCTTCGCGTATTGAGATATCTTTGGAAGATGATAATTCAGTCTTTATATTTTTCGTTTTTACAATGGAACCAAACGAAGTCGAACTGAAGTTACAAGGGAAGTTGGAAGTATCCTGTTTAAAAGTTGGAGCATACTGATTGCTGTTGTCGTTGGACGAGGAGGATAGGTCAACTTTTAGAAAATTCATGGGATTCTCGCTAGTTTGCAAGGGACAAGATGTGTTTGAATCGGAATCATCGATATACGGATTCGCAGGCAGAGAATCGCTTCTTTCGCCATCTTCAACGGTTCGGTCCTTTGCACAGTCTTCACGCGCACTAACGAAATTCCCTTTATAACTTAATATATTGCGTCGAACGGGGGACTTTTGCGAATTATCCGCAGTTCTTATTTTTGCGATTAACTGGTCGAAGCTGTTCTTATATTCAGTCACTAAAAATAGAGAGGAGGAAAATATTAAAAGCGCACACGTGCGTGCGTATACAAATGACTTGAGAATACTTACAGTACATTTTCCTTTCTTGTTCTATGACATTTTGTTCCGTATTTCTGTTAATATTCAGTCTCTGTGGAAATAAATATATTTCGGTGTACAAGCAAATTCTAAGGAAACGCATAGAATAAAACTATGTGCATATTATATCACGCTAACATTTGACGGTTTCCGAATTTTCTTCTCCAAATTTTCCTCCTCTTTGCACTGTGCAATTAACTCTGACACAGGCCTTGGATTCGTTTTATCGCATTCTGCATTATAGAGGATAGAATATCTCTGCAGTCTGTTCTCTAATACTTTTCTCTCTCCCTGAGATGATAATCCACATTCTTTTAGTTTCTTCCGCATTTCACTGTCTTTCATTAAATTTAGCACTAACTTTGGAAGTGGCTTACGCTTTAGCTCAACTCTGCAAACATAAGCAGACAAATAAACAAATATTTTCTAGAAAAAACATAATACTAACTAAATAACATATTAATTGTCTCCTTAAAAGTCCAAGAGATAATATATTTATGTTTGTGTGCATATATGCAATATAACATACCTTTTAGGTTGACCTTTCCTATTCTCTCTTTTTAAACAATCGTCCAAATGTTTATTTATATTACTTTCAGGCACATCTACTTTGCATACCGGACATATGACTACCTTAGAATTTTCCTCATTTCGAAAACCTTTCTTACTTTTTGGTGTATTAAATATTGATGGCACTTTAGACGATTTGCTGGTGCTGGGACTCGATACATCTTGATGATGAGCCCTTTGTGCATGAGGCGTAGAAATAATCGCCTTGGATATCGGACTTTCAGAAATCTCACATGATATCCCATTTGTATCACGAACATCTATTTCTTTCTCGCATTTAAAACTGCTAAATGAGCTGATATCTACAGAACTGTCATTTGTCACAGCTTCTATCTCTTTGTGATAAAATTCCTTCTCAAATTTTTCCCTAACATTCTGATATTGGATGATAATCTCGTCCAAAATTTTGTTCCTTCTCAAATCTTTCTCAAAAGTTTCCGCAAAACAAGCAGGACATTGTGTCTGATAATGCAAATACTTCCTAATGCAAAGAGAACAGTCTAAAATTATAAAACATGTATAAGATATACATATAACGAGACATATATTTTCTATGGAGCAAAATGGTGTTTGGCACGAAAGAATAGCTGAAGCCACACATTAAGAAGAGATATTTTCTATGAGTTTTCACAGACTTACAATTGTGAGAGCACGGAGTCACCATACTAGTGTCCATATATTCATAGCAAATCCCACATGTCAATAACTCCTCAATGCGCTGAAATAATTAGGAGATGCAATGTACGTCATTCTCCAAATTTTCATTAAATAAAAATGACGTGCAAAAGTTGCTTTCCAACAAGAGATACAAATCTACAAGTCACAGGTCTACAAGTTATATATCATCACTTGCTCTTATTTCGCATTTGGTAAAGGAAAGGATAATAGATGATATAACTAAACTTGTGTCAACTTGTGCGTCTCGCTAGAAAACAACCAAAGTCTGCATTATTACCTTTAATTCCGTATATTTTGTCGGCAACATGTTAAATCGGAATTTCAAGGTTAGAAAAAGATTTAGGTAGAAGGTTAGAAGAACTAAGAAGACTTTTACACATAACTCGCATCGTATTGATCACTATTGTTGTTAAATTATTGAAAGAAAAATATCACCATCTTACACGGGAAACAAAGATCATTAAAGAAACCGAGTATTAACTAAATATCTTTCGCGCACTTTTGTAATGAAACCAGGTGATTTGGAGTTATCAAGTTAATTCTTTTCGAATGAACTTAGGTCTGTTCGTTTTCGCTGCACCTCTGAACTAGTGCAATAAGTTGAAGTGAGAAAACATATACTTGTCTCGCTTCAACTCATTGCACTAGTTCAGTAGTACAGCGAAAACGAACAGACCTCTTTCCTTGCTTGTATAAGAAATGTATATTAGAAGGTGCGTTCAGCCATGAGAATTCTAAAGCCCGTATCAAACTACGGATTGGGACTTGAGATTGAGTTGAACTTGGCCAATCAGTACAAAGTTAACTCAAATTTAGTGAAATTTAGTGAACTTTGTACTGATTGGTTAGATTTCAATTCAATCTCAATCTTCAATCCATAGTTTGATACAGGCTTGAGGATCACTTGCACCAACTCCGGTTAACTTAGGCCCGTTTTCACTGACGCGAATGAATCGATCGATCGATTAAATTCAGTTTATCCATTGGAATTGACCAATCGCATCTATGTAACAACGATGTGATCGGACAGTTCCAACGGAAGAGCTGAATTTAATCAACCAATTTGATTAATTTGCGTTGGTAAAACCGCGAACCTTAAACAATTGATTAACTCAACGGAATTGATCAATTGCGCTGATTAGTTTCTATAATTTGACTCTGAATGGTCAATTTCTCAAATCTTACGCCTTAAATTCTCATTAAACCCCGCTTAAAGCCCGTAACAGACTATGGGTTAGGATTGAGATTGAATTAAAATTTGGCCAATCAGAACAAGATTCACTAAATTTGAGTTTAGTGTACTTTGCTCTGATTGGTAAAATTCCAATTCAATCACAATCTCCAATCCGTAGTCTGATACGAGCTTAACAAATAAAATAAAAAACCTTGCGTCTTTTTTAGAAACTAAATTATTTAGATTTATCAAATTTGTCTTGTCACTTATCTTGTTCTTATTAATTTTATCATTTTAATTACGTTTCTTCCAATCTTTTGCTTCCCCAATTCCACTTTATCGCAAGTTCGAAAAGTGCCGTCGAAACGAAAAATAAACCCGATTTCAACATAAGAAAACAAAAAATCGAAGAAACGAGAAATCAAGAGGTGGATCATAAATCTTTTCATCTAACATGAAAAGTGAGAATTTTCTAACGTGAAAACATATGTAAGTGTTCACTTTTCACAAATCATACTGTAGAAGAAAAGATTCCCTCTTTGTTTGCCTGTTTGCTTTAATTATCTGTACACGCATGCATTTTTTACATTCAAAATTAAAAAAAAAAATATATATATATAATCAAACTTCGTAAGAGAGAAGTAAGAGGAAAGCATAAGGAGTGTGAAGGGTCGCAGCTGCGGAGAAGCGCTTGACCTCAGGCACGAAGGCGTGTCTGAAATCAAGCACTCCCGGACGTCCAACACACCGTGTCCGCGAACGTAGTTCAGAAATGCATGCATAAATGACACGCGGAGTGTGTTATCGGTGAAAACGCGACGCGGCCCGAACGTACACAGTCATTGACGTCATCTCTCTCTCTCTCTCTCTCTTTTTCTCTCCTCTCCCCCTCTCTCTCTGTCCTGTCCCTCCCTCTCTGTCGCCCTACGAGCACTGCACACGCATGCATCCGTACGTGCATTAGACGGTGCGTAGTTCGGAGCGTATTTGTTTTTCCACGACGTACAGTGTGACTGCCGTATGTGTGATCGCCGATCTAAACGCAATTTCTCCGGAACACCGCCATAATTGTAACCCAGGATCGTCGCGTACCAATGTAAGACGCACCTCCACGATATACGCGCGTTCATCCTCTCTCTCTCTCTCTCTCCCTCTCTTTTGCTCTTCTTTTTTTCATTCACGATCTCTACGCTGCGATCATCGGTATATATGCGCGCGCGCACACACACACACACACACACACCATCGTTCTCGCGAGTCGCAAGTGGACGGCACATCTGTCGCAATTTGTCGTCAATAATAACCGTTGTTCGTTGTCGCTCGGCGGAGCGAATGATAAACGGGTATAAACGGGATAGTTCTCGCTGATGTGGGAAAGCATCGACCGTGAACGGTGTTGTGGTTAAGAACGAATTGTTCGCAGGCGCAGCCCAATGTATATCTGTGATTCCCTTTCTTCCTCCTCTCTCTCTTTCTCTCTGTTTCGATTGTCGTTACATAGAACATAAATATCAAGTAAACATGTGTTTTCGAACTCGTTTACGTTACAATATATCGGCCACTGTCGTCCTTCGTGATTTTTCCGCAAGGAGAGCGTCGCGTTCTCGTGCACAATGTTGCTACGGTTGTAAAATCTTGCGCATCGGGATTGGCATCTTTGGAACGTTTATATGTATCTGATAATAAGAAAATTCCGCGATCACGAAGTCTCCCGTTTATTTACAGGCTTTAACTGGATTATGCACCAGCTGTCATCAGATATCTTTGCTGACTTTCAGTTTGTAAATGCTAAAACATGCCGCCCAAGCAGAGGAAAATAGCCATTATGGGCTACAGATCCGTAGGTATGTGCGATAGAGAGATTCATTTAATATATACATGTGCATATATTTTTATTATAGACATTTTATGTATATATACATATATATATATATTATTATTATTACAGATTTTTTGTATAGATTTTGTAATTCTCATGTTTACCAGTGATAAAATGACACATAAAACAGTGATATATATTTATTAATAATACTCTTGATGCTTTAACACTGTGTTAAATTTTTAACAGGTAAATCCTCCCTTAGCATACAATTTGTGGAGGGACAATTTGTGGACTCATATGATCCTACAATAGAAAATAGTAAGAGATATCTTCACCATATCATCATATCAGTTTTTTTTTTCCTCACGTTATTCCAATAATTTACAATTTATAAATACTTAAGCTATATTAAATAATTGGATATTAACAGATCCTTCATGCATATTGTAGCATTCACGAAAAGTACACGAGTGAATAGTCAAGACTATGAGCTCAAGTTAGTAGACACCGCCGGTCAAGATGAATATAGCATATTTCCCACTCAGTATTCAATGGACATCCATGGCTATGTCCTGGTGTATAGCATAACCAGTGCAAAGAGTTTTGAAATTGTACAAATTATTTATGACAAACTTCTTGACATCACTGGGAAGCTACAGTAAGTACTCTCTTGGAGGATACTTGGTGTCTTTTTTCTTTTCGTTCAAAGAATGAACATGAACCACAATATTGCTCATAGTGTCCCGATCGTATTAGTGGGCAACAAAACAGATCTATATGTAGATCGTATGATCACGACGGATCAGGGAAAGCGCTTAGCAAATTCCTGGAATGCGGCGTTTCTTGAAACAAGTGCGAAGCAAAATGAGGTAATCAATAAAAATAATGTCGAAATTTCTTCTCGTTCCATAAGTTTTATCATTACATTGGAAACTTTTGTTAAACATCAATTTCCTGCCGCAGTCTGTTGCAGATATTTTTCACACATTACTGATCGAGATCGAGAAGGCTAACGGAAACGTACAAGAAAAGTCGAATTGCATTATTAGTTAAGTCGGGTCAGTGTCATTTAAACGGAAATATGTAAATGTATAGAACTGGGTAAACGCATTGGCATTATTTCTGGCATATTTACAATCGCACTGAAACAAATACAACTACAAATACAACTATCGAAAGCGTAAAAAAAACAAACCGCGTGTAAAACGTCTTATTACATCTCATTTCGTTAGATAAGATGTTATAGATAATTGAATTCCGGGTACACATAACAACAGTAATATTTATACATCCAGCTCTTGCGACATATCATTATTATTTTTATGGAATAATTGATACTTACGTTCCGATTTTACATTCTGTTTGTATAATTAAACCTTAAGTACTCGTACGGATAGAGAGTCATATAGATATGTGTTAGCAAGATCAATCGTTTCTTCCCACTTAACAGGCTTAATATTGAATCTTGAAAACTTGTTTATAAAGTTCATCTGATGCGAGTACTTAAGAATTAAAGTTACATATACAATAGATGGTTATTTTTATTTATATCCGATTATACTCGAGGTCTTTGTGCGATTAGATTTAGAATTTATCATTAAGATGCAACAATCATAAATTAATTTTAGTTTCCTAAAAAAACTTTTCGTTTTAGTACATACAAGTATATTCACGCATAAAACGTGTATAGAGGATCTAGGAATAATTAGAAGATCTACATTATAGTAGTTCTCTCTTATACAAAAGTATGTGATTACATTAAAAAAAAAAATATATATATATATATATATATTTATATATAGATATATATAAATATATATATATATAAAATATGACTGCTTAATTAGAGTATACAGTTATTATAAGTTATAGTTTACCGATAACGCACATCTTTATTTTTATTTAAATCAGCTAAATCATATACGGATATAAATAATAAAAATAATGTAAGGATATGATGAAATATATATAAACTCATTCCTGTATCAATAGATCTGTTCTCTCTCGCCGAACTGACTGCACTAGTTTGCACTAGTTCTCTCTCCTCCATCAAATTTTAACTATATACCTGTCTTTTTTTCAAGTTCTGTAAGTGTATACAAGTTCAGCGAAAAAGAACAAACCTAATAAGTAAGATTGTTTTTCGTCACGAATTACAAAAACATAATTGTCAATAACAAAAATGCATTATAATTTTGTTTAACACAGAGTATCGTAGCGATAGCGTCGAGAAAAGCTTCCACACAGATCGTCGTAACTGTGAAACTTAAGACATAAACTTAGGCTGAAAAACCAGCCAGAATATTGCTTTAAATTTGTATTTATATTGGAAGAAGAGAGCGGGCTTCGATAGCCCATATAGGGAATTAGCTGATTTGATGTAAAATTTTCTAATTGGCGGTCCAGTAGAAAAACTCTAGGTATCGGTCGATGTGTGTGGATAGGATGGGTCCTGTTAGCGCGTTGATGCGATAACACACATCCATTCATATCGATCGGTGCCCAGAGCTTTTCCGTTGGATCATCAATTAGAAAATTTTATATTAAAGCCTGGTTTCACTGTGTGCTGGACAATAAGTCATTCTACAATGCTCCGTCGGCAGTTATGAAAGATGGCGACCAGTACTTACAAAAATGCATTTTTTCGATTACAATGTACAGCAACTGTCGATCGAAACACTTCATTGCAACTTAACACTGAAACTACCGAAGCGGTTAAAATGATCGATTTGTAATTTTTTTCTTATATAAAAGTTACTCCATTTTCTAATGGTGCGTTCTCTAAGATTTCCCGTCATTTTTCATCGCAATATGTAAACTAATAAATATTTTTTTCCTTTGCACTGTTTTTTTTTTCAAAATCTTAGTTAAACTGCTCCAGTAGAAAAGTACGTTAGCCTTAGTTTACAATAGGTCTTAAGCCTTTAGAAATTGACCAATCACGATCGAATTATAGAAGAATAATCAATCGTGATTAGCCAATTTCTTAAGATTTAAAACTCTGTTGTAGATCTGTTGTAGAACTTAAGATTGCCTTAACGGCAGCCAATGCGGCATAACGTGCGTAAGCGTAACTTGCGTCAACTAATCAAATTGTCTCAACTAGTCAATTATAAATTACCACGGCGAATTTAATTGGCTGACGCAAGTTACACTTACGCAAGTCACATGGAGAAGCAGCCTTAGTTCTAGTCTACAATAAATGTTTTAAGCCTTAGGCCTTATGAAATTGACTAATCACAGTCGAATATGAGGAGAATAATCGACTGTGATTGGTCAATTTTTTAAGACTTAAAACTTCTCTTTGTAGACCCCGCTTTAATCGTCGGTAGTTTTAGTGTTAAAATAGTACTTTATAAACTAGTAGCTTTCATTCTTCACGGTTGGCAATGTGGTGTTTGCGACACATTGTAGAATGTCCTTAAGCTGCAAACCATAGTGTGATACTGTTTACAGGGTCCACATTTTATCAAGCGATCGCTTCTCATGTATCTTCACATGCCGTGCATTGCGAATTCTGAGGTTGGCTGTATCTCTCTCAGGATCGATTTGCCGTCAATTCTTCGTTCGTTTCGTGTTACGTGAATTTCGCAACTGCATTGGTTGCAGGTTAATTTTATCAAGATGTTCAATCAGGTGTTACGACCGATCGTACGCAATGTGGCCAGAAATGGTGAGATTCTTCGCGCTTTAGATCAGATTGTTCCTACGTATTGATCATACCTTACATAATATCTGCTACCTCGCACAAATCTGCGCTGAATGTTATTATACTATAACATTTCTTGGAAATAATATATGCAAAATCAATTCTTTAAGCCTCATTTCTTTTTAATAAGGTCGATCAATTTTATTCGATCAATTTATTCGGTCAACTTTCACATTTAAACTTTGTGACATTAGTATCTTTGGAACTCCAAGTAGATGATTTTAAAAGCATTTTGACTGAAAGTGAAATTTTGATATGAAATTATATAATAAGACCTTACGATTAATTAGCACACTTATTTTAATTTGGATAGTTTTTTTTTATAATTTTAATGTGAAGTGATATTACTCAAATATTCAATGTTAAAAACAAAAATATAAATGCATATGGAAATGATAGGGAAAAACAATGTTTTATATACATGTATAGATATGTTTATTTTTAATGTTAAGGTATTCGTTCATCCAGCTCAAAAGTGGTAGATATTAAGTTGCCAACGATAAATGACATACCTGTCCCAAAAGGACCATGGCAGGAGTATTATGATAAAAGACAGAAAGTATATAATACTCAATTAGCCCTTGGCACTGCTGTCTTACTGGGTACCATAATTTTTGTACGTACTAACTATAATATAATATATAGCACTAAGTATTTATTTTAGAATATTATTTGTCACTCTTGAAAACTTAATTTTTTATTATAATTTTTTAATATTATTTTATATGCCATGTCACAATCTTACACTCTAGTTTCTTAATACGTGACCAAATATTACGCTGTTTTAAATCTTAATTTCTTCTTTTTATAGCAAATAAGAACTTCATTACAGTTATTAGTGTGCAATTATCATATACTGTGCTAAACAATTAACTATTATATAACATATATATAACAAGCAAATCAGGTTAGACTATATAAATGTTTTGGTCAATAGATGTCTGCCTTCAGTAATTGCATAAATGTCAGCAATTAAAAATCATTTTCAAATTAGGTGAAAGTGAAGTAAACATAACAGATATATATAAAACGAAGAATATTTGCACATATTCTGTGCTGCAAGTAAGAGTTCATCCTCCCATCAAATTGCCTCCAGATGATTAACCTTAGTAACCATAAAAAGTGCATCTTTTATCAATACATTATTTGGTGATGGATGAGTCCTGACTTTTCTTTGTTATCTAAACAGTGATCTATAGGTTTTGTATATAGATCTTAACTTGTAGATTTTACTTATCTGGTAGTGGAGTATCCATTTGTAAAACTACACAGTTAAAACACTAATAATAACACTAAAATAGAGACTTACCAATAGGAGACTGCTGTGTTGAATTCTGTAGCACTGAATTTCCTCATATCATAAGGAGACTATATATATACAGTAGCACGTGAACATTACATATGCAAAACATACAAAATATGTGACTTGAAAAAAAGGCATTGTGTATATAAACCTTTTTTATGTTAAGTATGTGATCTTGTAAATAACAATAACTTTATAGACAGATCGTAACACTCAACTATTGACCAAAATAAGGAAGTTTAGTTATTTGTTACATTTATACTTTCAACACCTTCAACAAAAACCAATAAACATACGAAGTATATAAAACTTTTGTTTGTATAATTAAACCCCGGCATTTCATGTAAAACGAACGAGAATAAAAGAAAAAGATTGTTTGGGCGGTACGATTTACATTTAATTAATTAGAATTTGTGCAAATGATTCGTAGCCTCCATCATTATAACAACAAGAGCGGTATCACATTTTGTGGTTTTGATGTACCAATAATATAATATATCAATCAATAAGAATAAAAGTCGCGTGAACGAAGAATGTGTAGGTCGGAGCTTGTATAGTGAAACGATGGAAAATACTTCATGATGTAATTTGCAGCCTGATGACAGATCTGAGATTATGGGAGACAGATAACTTGGAATTCTGTCAAATAAAGCAATATAGGATACACGCTTTCTCATTTTGTATTTTACTATCATGTATATAGTGCTGGAACATGCGTGATTATAATGTTATATTTAGTTTATAAACAATTCTACGAATCCCTAAGAAAGGTTTCAGACACCTGTATATACACATACGCACACATATATATTGTATAAGTGGATATATTACAATATATAATTATAAAGTATGATAATTACGCGCTAATAATTATGATAAGGCTTTTGCTATTTTTCCCTATGTTAAGATTTCTCTTCAAGAGTTTACGGCTTACAGTTTTATTTCTTATACATATATATATTATAATTTAAAATAACTGTATATTATTCTTGTATGTCGTTTTCAGGTAAAAGAATCAGGCATTATCTTCTTTAACTATGGCCCGCCTGAAGAACCTACTGAGAAGTGAACATTCATCTGAATAAATATATTAGCTAATTACGATAGATATGTACAAAGCAATCCAAACACAGCTATAATGAATATTGCGTACCTTATTGTGAGAGTGTAACACGCAATAATTTGTACTCTCTTCAATAAATGGTTCATATTTATAATACACGTATACTTACGTATACTATATGCTCCGCACTTAGAAGCAGCACAACGTATACCTATTTTGTTACTAAATCGTATAAATGATAAATCTTATACAAAAATTAGGAAAGATATATAAGCGTAAGAGATATTTTATAGACGACAAGTTACATCCTTTCTATTGCAATATTCCATAGTATTAAGATAACTTTCTTTTATCTTTTATCTTTTTATTCTCTGTTGTTTATTACATAATTTTTTGTCGTGACATTCGAGGATGCTTACATATACATGATCAAGTAGCATTGCTCTCCTTAAAATTGTTCTAGTAATTATCAATATAATTATATTAATATCTATTTGAGTTAACTAATATCGTTTATGTGTTATTTCGTTTCAGCGATTTAATGAGATCGCGCTATTTCCGAGAAAAATTCCAAAATATCCTGAATAGTAAATTCCAGCGTCACCATACTGTCTGGGTAGCAACGTTGTATCAGCTCTTCTATATTTCTATATTGCGCAATAAATTCATTCTGCATCTCACGCCAAACGACCTAAAAAAAGTAATCAAAAAATAAATAAACTTCAAAATAAAATGAAATAAACCACTGAAATTACGAACAAAACAAGGGCTAATACGAGTCAAAGCATTTTGTTACTCTATAGATTTGCAGTCTATTTTATAAATATAATATACAGAGCTGAGAAACAGCGCTTTGGCTCCTTGTCAGTCCCTTTCTTTCGTTTCTAAATAAACATATATATAAATAATAGTAAAAATGATAAAATACACTCATTATATATGTGCAAATAATTATAAAAGATGACTTATTGCATATCTATATGAACTATATCGCGATATCGAATTATTGAGAAAACATTCGAGAATTCTTAAGAAATCTCTCGCGTTTCATTTACCTGCAACAAATTCTCCTCTTCGCACAGATGTTTCTCAACTTTGCGATACAGATTCTCCAAGCCTTTTTTAACTTCTCTCGCAGGATATTCCTTTACCACTCGTCTTAATTCTTGCTTGCTGAAAGCCATCTGATAACTAACTTCGGACTCTTTCACACCGGCCCCTACCTTAGCTTGAACGCCCTCGAAGAATAACTGAAAAATAAAAAGCGCGCTTCTGTAGCTTCAATCAAGATACTTCGACACGATCATATCTTTTTGGACGAAAATTTTACATTAAGTTTCTCAAGGGGTCGTCCGAAGTATTGCGTAACGTAAGCGCGCAGCGCATCTTGATATTTTTGTTTAGCCTCTTTTCGCTCGTGATCCAGCACGGAAATTTTTAATTGCGATAGGAGATCGTACAGATGGTGGAAATTCTCTGTAAAATATGACAAGGGCTGTTAATTATCGAAACATGCGGTAATTTGTATGTATCGCTGGTTATTGAGATATCGGGTATAACAATTAGTGCTGTCAATATCTCGGGTCTATTGAATATTACCCGAATATCCGGGTACCCTATAAAATATTTCATGTTATTTCATACAGTACAGTAACGTATGTTGACGCACGAGGCGGGCATTTCGAACATTTTCTTTGATCATCCATAATTCGAAAACTAAAGTATGCAGGGCACATATTCATATGACGTTTTTTACTTATTTTAGCGTGGACACCTATCCCTTGGAATATTAACATGCACTTATGAATCACCCTGTATGTAACCACACATATGGACAAAATTCATATATGATTTTATATAATTATATATGATCATACATAATCATTTTTTCCCGGATATATGCGACCAGGTGGTCAAAACTGACTCCATTAATAGCAATTGTTATCGGTTACTTAAAATCTTACCCATTTTAATGACCTCCTGCGGAGTTTTGTGATGTTCTCGGCTATGAATGACGATAGCGTCGAACATGGTGCTCACCAGCTTCGTGTACCACTTGTCAAGATCGACTTTCCTGTCGGAGTTGCGAAAGATCTTCTCCGCCGTTCTCGCGAACGGCCCGAAATTCTCTATGTACGGCAGTATGCCGCACTTGTGCCGTCGGTTGACCTTCGTGTCGCACAGTATGGACTGCAGCTGGGCTTGCATGAACTTGTCGAAGGCGCGCTTCACGTGGATCAGAGCGGACGCGAACGTCATCGACAGGAACGAACCGGTGTCCTGGGCGGACATGACGTGCTGCGACAAACGCACCAGCACGTACATACACCAGCTGTAAGCAACGATTGGATACTTGCATAAATCAGGTTTAGGAAAGTTGCCTCGTGAAGAGTAACTCGTCTGTTCTTACTAGTTGCGTATCAAGAAGTAACGAGTCATCACAATTTCATCGAAGTCATTTCTCAAGTTGAATTAAAGGCCTTCTAACGATTATATTCGTTACCGTTACTAATGGAAAACAAAAATATAACACCAAGTCATTATTGAAAGAAAGTAACTCGTAAGGATAACGACGTTGCAAATGACGCTTTATTTCTCAACTTGGAAATAAATAAAGAACAAAATGCGCGCGAATCGTTGACAAAGTTCACCACCGGCGTCACAAATGTGCGATGCACCGATTTCTCATGAGAGAACAATGTCACACACACGTGTGATTACGATAGCGCCGCGCTCAACTCACAAACTGTCTATCTTATCCAGGAAGCCGATGAAGTTGTTCAATTCGGCCTCCAACGACGGGAATATCGCGGCCATGGTCGCGCGCACGTCCTCGTTCACCTGCCGTTCCAGCCTCTTGCTCGCTGTCGAGGTCACCGAGCCGGGACTGGCCGCACCGTTGCCGCTCGTGCTCTCCACCTCTTCTATCTCGCTGCTCTGCGCGCCACGTGAAGGCGTGAACGATCCGAGTGATCACACGTACGCTTGAACGAAGGTATATACTCACTTTGGAAGGCGAGAGAACGGAATCGAGCTGAAGAAACGAGACGCAAAATCCCTGTTCGGCGAGGCAGACCGGCTGCATTTGTGAGAGCACGCAGTCGAGAACAGAATCCAAGAGATTCCCTTCGCCGACAGGCGCCCACACTTCGCCGCTCAGCAGACAGATCGGGGCCGGATTCAGCAGGTCCTCGCCTTTCTGACCGCCTGACCTTGATGTATTCACTTGAAACGCACCTTCCTTTTACTGATACGGAATATTTTATCGCGGAAATAAGAGCAACGCGCGCCAAATAGAGCACCAATTGACCCCGGCCGACAGTCACTCGCGCATTTCGCACCTTCGTTGCTCACGATTTGTCCATCATCGATCATCATAGGAGCTCTACCGTGGGAATTCTATCGTTCTACCTTGCAGCCGCTTAGTGACGAGTTTGTTCTTGGCCTCCTCGAAGAAACGCTTCAGATCCCTCTTGTACAATTTGCTCATCGTGTCGGTGTAGACTTTGGTCAGTTGCACGAACGCCTTGTTATCCAGAGCTCTCAACAATTGCATCAGTTCGGTGTACGGCACCAGCTCGTGATGAACTCCCTGGTGAGTGGGTAGGATCAGGTCCGTCATGGAAGTCGACGTGTCCCCGATATCGTTGCCCTGAGTGAAAATGATTCGTTAAAAATTTGCAGAGAGAAAAGAAATAAAAACCGAAATTAAATGATAAATCGTGTTACGTCATGAAGGAGGAGAAAATAGAATATCGGAGAAGAAATTACGAGATTACCAAATGTATGAAGAGATTATTCAAATGTCTCGCAACAATGACCGAGAATTTCGCCTTGAGCTTGTCCAGTCGCCTCTTCTGCTCAGTGACAGCGCTTAGTTTGTCCAAACCTGGTGGAAGAGGGGCCGTGATCGCCTTCAAGAGCGCCGCGCCCGCCAGACCAAGCTCTTCCCTCTCGCCTGGTAATTCGGCCTCGTTCAAAGTGCGCTGGTGCGTCGCGGAAATATCTAACTGCGACTTTAAAAAGAAGTCCGGCATTGAGCGATATTTGTATGTCGTTAATCTAACGCATCAAAATATAGCTACTGTATTTATACACTATACTAAATACAGGGTGTCTCGAAAAAATCTATACACACCTTGAATGATTACAAAGTCAGCGTTCAAGTTTCAAAATTTAAAAGAGACTGCAGAAATGAATCATTTTCCTTGTCAATACCTATTTTCAAACCGATGACCGTTCGGGCACTGCAGATAACGCGATGCAATGGACTCGCAAACATCAAATATTGTTAAAGTGTACATGCATTTTTTCGGGACACCCTGTATTTATAAAGTGAACATTAATTATTAATGATTCTACGGTGATATTTTCGTTCTTACTTACAATGACCGTATTTAGCTGATTCAACAACAGCCTCGCGTTATTATTCGCTGTATGTATAGCCTGATTCTTTTGCCCAACTCGGGCCATCACTTCTCTTATTCTTCCTAATGCTTCGTCGTACGCCGCTAATCGTGCCTCTACGATGGAAGTCTCAATTATCGCAGCGTCTATACTGTTCATCAACTGTGTTACTCTTTGCTCCGATGCCAGGACTGAGTATACATTTTCCTGTATGATAATATAATAAAATACTTATACTAAAAGTTTCCATAGTATTAATTAATTAATCTCTCTCTCTCTCTCTCTCTCTCTCTCTCTCGTTTTATTCTCTTTATTAGGGTTTATTCTTTGTTTATAGAAAGACATCGTTATTTTAAGCGAAAATTGTGATTAGAAAGAAGCTCTTTTAATTTAAAAATCAATTCCTAAATGAAAGGCAAATAAGAGCCTATGCACAGGACTGTCTTAGTGCAATTATTAAGACAGCAGACATTCAATGGTGCGTTATATTTAAATTTTTCAAACATTTCGGTCCAAACTTAGGACCCTTTTTCAATGAATACAGATATTATAACTTAAATCAAGATCGTTATTTTACCCCATCAAGAATAGAGAGATCCTTCGAAAGTGTTTCCATAAAGAGTTCAGCATTGGAAACAGCACATTCGCAATTTTCCATCATTTGTTTCAAGTCAGCGGCTTCTTTTTCAGTGATAGGTTGATAGTCGGAAGAAATAGGCGACGCCAGAAGATCTGAAAATTGATACACACACATACTGTATTAAATGCAAGCATCAACAACATAAGACATTTTTTGCTGATAAAATTAAAAGTGCGTTACGTTAATTAAATTATGCAACAAGGATAACATACCAGGTGTAAACGTAATACTATCACTTTCCTTCAATGCGGTCGGATCGATCAGCCATTCTTTAGGAATGTTCTTGAATTCTGGTCTCTGGGTTAGACTGCATGAGTAAGTGTACAAATTACTGATAAATGTTCGCCTCTCCTGTACCGTAGTGGACGACCATTTGTATACTTTATCAATATGTAGCTCTATGTCCATCGAATCATTTTTTATACCATCGACGACTTGTATATCGCTCAGAGGCCAGGATTGTTTTTTCTTATAAATATTCTTATCGTTTTTCTTCACTTGATATAATATGAGAGACTCTGGTGTATCTGTCGTTGTAGCTAGACACAAGAAACTCATCTTTTTCTTCTTATAAGCTTTACTGACATAACATACGCTTAATAGTTTCTCATCACTAGGAGTAAATACTTCCCTCTGCAAGGTATGCCGAATGGCTGCCATGGTACAACCTCAATTAATCTGTATATCCTGTTTATTTCTTCTTATTTATGACTTGTATTTTCAATCTTAGAAAACCTAACAAATTATTGACTATGTTAGATACATATACAGAATAGTTTTATATTCCATTTTCTTCTTTCTCTCTTTTTGATCGTATTCTTTAGCAAAAATTTAATAAAGAACTATTAATCTTTCAATATTAAATGATTGATATTTAAATCATATTTGCATCAACATGATCATTCTGGGGCAATTTATACATCTTGAAATATTTAAAAATACATAGATAAAAATACTTTGTATGTATAATTTCACAGATTTAAACATTGAATTGCCTAACATTATATATACATATCTATGACATCAATAAATTACTTAACAATCCAAAATATTGATATAAATATAAGATAATAAATATTTCACATAATATATCATGAAACAGTATGTTATTAACAATATTTCCTTATCAACAGAAAAACTTACATAAACATTTTTGTGAAACCCTCCACACTGTGTGATGTGTTAATCTCTTTCGTTGTAATAAATTACCATATTTTATTCCTGTGAAGCAAAACAGACTCACAGTAATTCCTTAATTTCCCACTTTGTAAATCGCAATATATTCCAGCTCGATTTAATAATTGCAAAAATAATGCATCACCATGACATATTCTCGTACTGACACATCATTTCAGTGAAAATATCCATCACGACTGCTACGACACAAAGAGCTACCTGTAAATATAGTCAAGGATAGTCAGCAAGAGATAGGTAAGATCCAACCGATGAATCGATGTTCGATTCTTCAAAGGAGATTCATGGCTATCTTCCTGATATTTCTGATGTTTATAAAACTTTACGTCACCAGCTTTTTAAATGTGATTTTATTAAATTTCATTACTAACCTTTTATTGAACGTGGTGCATTAATATTTTATTCGAATTGCATCGATATTTATCATGTATGTTTAGAATGTTATTTTTAAATAATATAACTCTATTCCAGGCAGAAAAAGACTTTTATTTATCATCAATGAATAGAAAGAGAGAGGGCGAAAATTTACTCTAGCCGTTGTTCGGTAACGTCATTGAAGAATAAAGAAAGTTCGTCGGATCCGTCGTCGAGTTTCACTACTTTCAACGAAGGTTCCTCTGATCACCGCTTCTGGCGTTTGGCGTCGCAGTCAGTGCGGTTGGTAGACTTCAGAGTGACGCGTTCAGTGGCGGTTACTTGGCGCGCAGTGCAGCACGGTTGTATCGGGAAGCAATTTTTTGAAAAGTAACGACGCGAGTGCCGGAATCCTTCAGTCTTTCGTGTGTTTCGCTCGCGTTTCGACAGGAAGAAGTGTCTCAGGATGCAGTGAGGAAGCTAGCCGACGAAAGATGGCAGAATATTTCGAGGAGACGCTTGCGTCCGCGATGGAGTTGGACCTGTAAGTGAATGCATTTTGATACTTCTTTCCCCTGACACGATGCTACCACATATCCTGTCACGATGCCTCCGTGTTGCACGACTTCTCACGTGTACGTTCGGTACGGTCTATTTTCGTACAAATAAATAGACGCGCATCTTGTCGTTGAACCTGCGTCGTATTAACAGTAGGAATAAAAAATGCACATTATAAATTGTCGTGAACGTATATTAGATATTTGATGATAAATCACGAGTCTCTCTTTGTATCTCTCTCTCACATACACACATGACGTATATACATATCATGCACGTGTACGTATCGTTTTAACGTTAGATTTATATTTTAGTGATATTAACAAATTTATTAATCTTAATTTCGGAACATTACATCATTTTTTGCTTATTTTGATACGTGGGATATCAACCTTGTTTATATTTTGATGGTATACAGAGATAAAGGTGATGTCGGGAGTGACCTTATCAACAGAGTGTCAAATATCTTTTTTGATATTAATTGCGTGTTTCATATCTTTGCTCTGTCAATGTTACCACGACGAATAGGGTGCTCTATTAATAGATTTAATGAAATAATAGCGCGTCGCATACGCGCAAGCTGTGTTAACCGTAATTTTTATTTCATATGAATATTCTTGCAGATATATATATATATATATAAAAATATATATATATATATATTTTTTTTTTGTTTAATAAATTTTGGTAATTTTTCTTTTATGATCGGAATATTAATATATGATGTACAACGCAGAAATTGAAATCTCCCGGTTTTACTCAGTAATTCAATTACACGCCTCATAATACAATAACACGATACAAATTAATATTATTGTTACTATACGAACGTAGAGAATATAATATGTTTTCTGATAAAAGCGTAAAGCAGAATTGAGAATATGTATGACATCGGAAGGCATATTGTTATATCGTGTCTTTTCCCAATGCACATTTCACAATAAATCGCGAATTTATTCACACTGTTTGTACTAACGCAGTTATCTTTCTCCGGGGTTAAAGCTCATCTTATGTTGCAGTGACTGTCAATTTAGTCCGTTATATTAATCTTACAAATGAGCACGACCTTTGTCTCATCATATAATGGAACCAAAAAAATACTTAGATTTCGAACATATGAGATAAACTTAACTTGCGTTTTTTCATAAAATTCGACACGAGATATCTCATGAATTCAGTAATCAAACACCTCTTAAGATTTTTAATAAGAGGTTTCAAGCTTGTGAGATTTTTCGGAAAATTTCGGGAAAGAGAAGAAATATGCGCTATAAAATATTTGATTTGATTTTTCAGTCACGGAATATGCCATTGATCGTTCTTGTTCTGAGTAAAAATCGCCGCGGTATTAATCGATCGATTGAGAAACGCTGGATCGTCGATCAGCGCTTAATCCTTTTCGTGTTTTTGCGATCCTCTGTATTCCTCCGTATTCACTGCTAGTCCAACCTCCGTATCTCCTCTCTACATCTCCTCTCTTCTTCACCCTTCTCCGCGTTTCTCCCTTTTTACCAATATATATGCGCACTGCATTCGTATCGTCCCTTTTTCCCTTCCGCTCTTTGATCCGGCCATGCAAAGCGTTTACATTAAGTATCGCGAACTGATTTACACGTCCGTTGATAGCGAGTGAGCAAAGCAACGAAATATTAAAAAAAAAACTTATATACTATTTTTCGATAGATAATAAGAATCTCCTTTTTAACTATCGATTTGGAGTAGAGAGGATTTTTACATAGTTGTACAAAAATATAACTACATATAAGATATACGGGGAGATTCAGTACTCGAGTTCATTGACTCGGGAGGTGATTAGACATTAAAAGAGAAAGATAAAACATTCACACAAGTATGTGTCCTAAGACTTATTGTTGTCAATTATATATTGTATGAACGTTTTATCTTTCTCTTTTATCACTTCGCTTCCCGTGTTAGTGACCTCAAGTATATATCGAATAGAATTATTGAGTCATGTACAATATGTCACATATACTATATAATCGATGAGGCTCTTTCAATGGTTACTTAAATATTTTTATCCAAGTGTTCGTGTTATCTCACGTTGTCTTATCTGCACACTCACGTAAACCGTGTCACCGCACCTGACAGATTCGACGATAAGTAAGAGTTCGGAGGCTCGCGGAAGGTGAACTCTAAGATTGTTTGAAGATGAATATCGGTGTAAACAAGGGATGAATCGATAAAAAAAAAGTTGCTTTTCCCAAACCGGAACTGGAGCAGGCGTCATTATTGACGCCTCCCGTGCGCTCCGACCGTACTCCGGCGAGCACAGCGCACATCCCCTGCATCTCGGCTCCTCTTTGCCCCGTACCTCCCACCCTTCTATTTCTGCTCGACTCATGTTGCCGTCTATCGTCAGTAGTCTTCGGTGCGTCGTGCGATACGCAGGGAGCGTGTACAAGGATAGGGACGCGATCTCGCGCTGCGTCAGAGCGTTCGTGTCTCTCAAATAAACAAATTAGACGCGACGCGCACGACGACTCGCATTCATAGCGACGCAAAGTCGCGAAACGTCGTCGTCATCGACTTCAAGGCGACGGGGCTTGCCGTAGACGAGGAAGCGAAACACGGACTATCCCTTTCTCAGGAAGGCAACGTCTGACAGGAAACTGAAAATCTACCGATTCCCCCGAAACGTCGTGATAAGTGCACTGCCGTTATAAACGATACAGCCTCGTTATCTAGATTAGCGTAAATCGTTCGAATTAGCACTGAGATTAGCGCTGCTACGCTATTGCGACAGCCGCTAGTGAACTCGCTAAACGGTCTCGACCCGACAAGCCACGAGATTCGATAACGACCAGAGAATTATCTGACGCGTCATCTTCAGCGAGAGTTATCTCCATTGATCGGTCCAGCTGCGGAGACGCATGGTACGTTCGCGCTAACGCCGCCCTCGCCTCCAGAGGAGCAGTCCCCGGACACGTCTCTCTCTCTTCGGGCGTTTTGACCCAAACGCAGTTCACGGGCCATGTCGCATCGTTCGGGTGGCGAAGACGCGAGTGCACCTTCAAGGATAATAGTCGTCCTTCGCGAACATCTGATCGCGGAATATCGCGTCGCCGTGTAATCCTCGTGTAACCCTCGTGCACGTATGTGCTTAATGAGAGACAGAGTGACTGGTGTCGCCGAGACTGCGGAACTCTATCTTGTGAAAAGACAAACTGTATTTTTCTCGGTACGCATTTATCGAACTGCAACCGCGCCTTTGCTTTTTATCGTGTTCCCGAGACTTTTCAGGGCGGGGACATGTTTGTAGTGTAAGCGAGAGAAAAGTTTCCAAAAGGTTTAGACGGATGTCACGTGTCGTTGCTCTGCGATAGCCGCCGCGAGAGAGAGAGAGAGAGAGAGAGAGATAGATAGATAATTGCTGCAAAATGCTAGTTGGTAGTTACCAATACGTCAGCCAGTATCAAAATGTATCATCCTCGTCGAAGGAAATTGGTGCTTGCAGCGGTGCTTACAGAAGTCCCTTTCGAACGTGAGTACCACGTATGATCCGATCGAGCATTAGTTACACGAACGAACAAATGTTTTGTTTGTTCTTTTTCTTTACTTTTTCTTTAGTTTGGAACCAAAATTTGGTTCTCTAAACCAAAACATTTGTTTGTCGATATCCACACTAAAATTAAATTTCATTTGAATCAATTAAATGAATTTTTCAGTTTAGTTGAACTCTCGCAAGGAAGGGTGGGAAATGCGTTTATTTATAGAATAAATAAATATAGAGTCATTTGCCTTTCTGATATATTGACTTTTCATAGCTTCAACAAATTCGTCTCTTTAGCTATGAAATTGCATTTAACTTTTCGTAACGACCGCGTTCGCCGTTTGATCATCGCATCGCGTTAAAGACCCGTACTTTCGATATTCAAAACGATGGATGCGTGTAACTTTCACCGTACCGGGCACATTATTGACATTAAAAGGGTTAACGCAAATGCACGAGAGGTTAATGACGAGATCTCGTTCGCCTTCTTTAAAGCGTTCTCAATCGCCTATCTTTTATCGAGCGTGTACGCGAAAAATATTTAATACAGGATCTATTATATTTTTACGGTGATAATATAAAAAGTATAGTGCATCGTATAGAACTCGTTAATTTAACGAGATGCATGGGACACATGTTATAAATTAATTAACAATACTCCTATGATATGGCTGTATATAACATTATTATTGCGCTATTATTGCGCCTCATTATTAGAAATTAATATTATTATTATTATTGATCGTGTGACGAGAAATTCCCGATACATTTCAAATACAATGTGACGACTCTTTCTTATGTTAAAACGGGAATTTCTCAGTAACCATTGTATTGCGTAGCTGATATATACTTTATGTAAATTGTATTACATTGATCTACTTACTTATGCCCTCTTTAAACATTGTTTGAATATTTCGCATTGACCCGAGAAGAGACACTTTTCACCACCGTTGCATAATGAATAAGTGGTGGAGAAATAATAAAGTACGTAATTATTATACAACGCAAGATGCTATTAGCATTATATAAAGGTATTATTTTCTGCAGTTTGCATTGTTGATATTTCTGTTACTTAAGAATGTGCATGTATCAAATAGCATTTTTGCGCGTAATAAGTTGTGCGTGAAACTTGCATACGTACGAAAGTATTTTCAATAGATATTCATGAAAAATGATATCAAGTTATAATTAGGTATTGAATCTAATATGAATTAAATATGATATCAGATGATAACGTTAAACGATCTTTTTTTCGTACTTCCGTGTTTTCTATAAGAAGTACATAAAAATTCTCGCGCTAAAAGTTATTTATTTTCTACGCTTCGTAAAATCGCACAAGGTATTCCCTCCGTTGAATATTTGCGATGAATATAATATTCGCGCGTTTAAATGCACAGTCTGGACATCATATTGTAAATAAAGTTATGCTGACGGGATCCAGCTAATTATTTAACTGCTCAGTCAATTCGTTTAACGAACCGTTAATTGAGGGAACTTCACACGCCGGACACCTATATAGTAGTTTCACATATAATAATCTAGTGTAAATGTTTGAACAATTTCATTTTGAGAAATAACGTTTGTCTCGTTGGTTGTGAAGTAAACGTTTCAATTTTACGACGAAACGTATTAAACAATTATCGGTGGTATTAACTAGACCGGTGGTGTTAATTAGACAGACGAATGGAAAATTTCAAGATAACGCAATGATAAACATCGACTCGTCACAATTAAATTATCGTGTCTTAATTGAAATAATTAGCTGATATTAATCGGTTGTTAATCAATGCTGTTATTAATCGATATTAACTGCAACGATTATGAAAAATGCAACAAATTTTACATCTTTCGTTTTTGTTTCATTATTATATTTTTTCGCTGCTCTTTCCGTACACGTACAAAATCTTTTTCTGTTACTGATTTAAAATATTAACGACTTGAAAATGCAATCGGGTCAGTACATTTTTGATAGTGCACTATTTATAGCGACTATCAAAAGTTGAGACACGTGCACGTTTTAGCTCATGCGGCTGCTGCTGCTGCATCCGACGGCTATATAACCAGTATTGATTACTTACTACATCCGCCATCTTGCCAGATGATGGCAACTGGTGTGCCCTTTTCATCGTCTGCTTATAATATTATCTGCAAGCGATATTATCTAAACTTTATTTTTGATTCATATGAAAAAAGGTATATCGTTATGTATTTTTTTCAAAACTCGAAAATATGCAAAAGTGTTTTTTAAATTCTTATTTGCAATTTTCCCTTTTATTTCACGCGAATAACCAATTTATATTATCAATTTTTTATTTAATTTACACGTAAAAGTGTTTAAGTTTTGGCTCGGACCAAAAATTTGAACGGTAATACTTGGACTATCAGGGAATTTTCGTGGAATTATGTTTTCCCCACCGTACGAGGCACCCCGAATCCATAAAGTTGAATCACCCGTATTATGCGTGTCACGAGTAAATGAATCACGTTTCATCACTTTATGTGTAATTACGCCCACGCTTAGACACCTCGCGTTTAACGCCGCGTTGTCGCATAATATGTGTCTTACTCTCGTCTTTTGCGGTCATTTTAACGTCGTCCGACACACGTATCTCGAGTCGACGTAAGATTCCGAGAAGTCCGTATTCGGATTCGTTAAGCCTGGAAGTAAGGGTAGCGCTTAATATAACGGTGCCGGGTACATAGGGCTAAAACCGAAAACTCGACAATCTCGCGTGTCTCTTGCATTTGCAAATTGAGTTCGTCGAAGAGAACTCAATTATTCGATTTCGGAGATCGCTTTCTATGTCGAAGTATCGTTGAGAATTCAATCTAGAATTAACAGAGAATTTCGGGCTTTCTTCAGAATTACATGCGAAAAGTATTTTGAAACTTATGAAGAAGATGGAATTATTTCAAGGTGATTAAGAACTCAGGATTTCGCGCGAACTTGAACTTTAGACACGAATAGATGACACGTTGAACTTTTCAGATAACTTTTAGTAGGTTTTATTCGGAGTATTATTTTAACATTTGAGGCTTAGTTATGAATACATTTAATATTAATAATATCGAAAGGTACGAAATAATATAAAAGAGTGATTTCCAAATTCCAAAAAGAAATTCTTCCAAAGAATTCGAGAAATTTGTACCGATAATTCCTAAACATTTATAGACGCCTTTACCCCATCGAACCCCCGTTAATGACCAATTTGTTATCTTTCTGCTCGTTTAACGGTAAGAAAGCTTCAAAGGACTATTTCGAGATTGGCGCTCGTGACACAGCCGCTGCTTTATTTTCCCGAAGAATTCGACAACAGATCGAAATAAAAGCCGACTGGATTTTTAGGCACGCATAGTTGAGACGTTACGTCGTCTGAGAGCATTGTGTTTTCTTCTACTTGCGTTCACACTATTACGTGTTATTCGACGACATAACTGTCTTCGTACATCGTGTCGTTGATCACAGTTGTATCGTTACGTGTGAAATGATTTTCGTGGATATTCTTATGAAGAAAATCAGTAGTACGAGAATCACATGTTGGGCACGCGTGTTCCATTTGTATGCATCTTCAGGTTCTCCGTTATGCAACGACAATATATGAAATTGTAGCATTACCTACCTTACGTCTACCACATGTCTTCTAATTATAACCGAAGATTGTACACGGGGCTGTGTGCGACGACTCCACGAACACCCGGTGTGCTTTTCCATACGCGTGATACAAAGCAGCTCCTCTCGATATTATTGCTTTCAATTCGCGCGTGAGTGTCTGTTCCGACGCAATAATATGGCGATTTCTCGATGTTTATATAAATAATTTATGAGAAAGAAAACACCTCGCGTATATGTAATGACGATGATAATTTTAAATATTAATTATCAAAACTATTATATAGTAATTCAGATGATTATCGTATACGTTCGTGGCACTCGCTCTTGTCTGCTTTGTACATGTAATATATGTGCACCTCAGGGAAAGTACACGACTTTCGAGACGCCTCGTATAAATCCTTACGCCTTGGTCCTTAATAATACACGTCCAACGCGTTTTGTCGTGGCTGTATATTACGAGCCCATATTTTCTCTTAGAATGTCGTCTTTACCATGAAACACGATACACCGCGCGCACGCACAGATTCCACACGTTATGATTCGCGAACACTTTCCATGGCGTATCTATTTCTAGCTTGCGAGATCCGTTGGATATGATACGCGAAAGAATTCTGTGTTCCTGAACCTACGTTCTACGCTCAAGAAACCAATCAATGTACCTCGCAAGATCGAGGTGGTTTTAGAAATCAGCGAGCACTGCTTGATCACTCTATCAAGTTGTGCTTAAGCAAACGGTTTAAGGTCTGTGAAGTTAACATCTCAAAATGCGAAATTTATAAAATTCACGTGGCGTTTGTTTACCCACGATTTGTCCATAAAAAGTTTATTTTTGTTTACCCTGTGAAAAAGTTATTATCAAATGGAAATTTGGACAAATTTTAACATTAACATGAATGGATAACGTTCACGGGAAAAAATTAGTCTTCGGTCAAGAATAGATATTCTCATATACAAGCAAGAATATCATAATCTTGTTAGAAGATTTTTAATCTTGATTTTATTGAATTTCTATTAATGCAAGTATTACTTGAACTCGATTCAAGATGAAAAATCTTTTAAGAAGGTTATAATATTCTTGCTTACGTGAGAATATCTATTTTTGATCTCTTTTTTTTTGTGTGTGTGGACAAATCGTGGACAAATCGTATGCAACATCTCGTATGTCCTTTCCAGAGATCGCGCCTGCTCCCACTGACTCGCGACTCGTTGGAAACGTGATGCGTAATTCGCGACGTAGCGAAGCAGCGTAAAAGACACGGTGCGGATTAATTACTCATTTCGCGTCGCGGCATTGCATCGCGTGGAGTCAGCGCGGCGCTGCACGGAGGAACCGGAATAGGATTTACGTGAAATCTAAATAAAACTTTACTGGAAATCATGCAGTTCCTTGTCGTCCGAGGGCCGCTGCTAGACGGCTCGGGCGCGGCGACAGTTAATATGCTTGCGAACGCTTTACGCCCCCTTAAACTGCATTGGTAACGACTTCCGAGCATAGCCACGAATCCGGGTGGAATATAGGTTCCAAATAAACGATTGAATTCGCATGAATTTAATAGTCCTGTTTCGCAATCTTTGGGAAACGGGTCGGCCACGTGGGTGTCTTTCACACTTTGATTGTCACGGGGGTCATTAAGTGAGGCCGAGATTATAATATCGCCGCATTTCATTAATTAAGATGTGAAACCTAACCGCCCGAGTCGAAATTTCCGGCTCTATGTTAGACCTTTAATTCTATGGCATAATAGGAACTAGGATAGCAAAATAGGTTCCCAATTCTAATAATACAATATCTCTACTTTGACACTGATGATGTCTTAAATTTCCGTCTTCGCTGTTTTATCGTCAAAATAGGTTGTTGAAAGTAGCATTAAAATTAAATCTGTAGAGTTAACAGTTCAAGAGAGAAGTTAAAAAGCATCATCGTCAAAGTGGTTTTTATTAGTCTATAGACCGTCTAAATAGACACAAATTATCTTTAAGAACTGCGTTCAAAACGTCTTACTTGACGGGTAGAGTAGTATTTAATTGAGACCAATCGTAAGATAGAAAGAGCAAAGATTTCTTTATCATGATTGGTTAATAAATGCTACCCTACCCGTCGAGTAAGATTTCTGAACGTCCAAGAGCGTCAGAGTAGCATCAAAATTTCGACTATTTTTTTTTTAATGTAAAACAGACTTAATTTGTTTATGTAGATATAGAAAAAAGTTATCGCTGCCATACGTGTATGACGTTGGCTATTCATAGGGAATCAGTGCGTTAGACGTATATGACGCGAACGTGTTAAAGCACGAAAGTCTTAGCGAAGCGTTATTGATATCTTATTAACGTTAATCGCTCGCCTCGACTCGTGAGTCTTCCGTCTTCGATCTCGATCTCGATTTCGACCTCGATTTGTGAGATTTCGAAAAAACGCCGAAGGGTAAGACGCTATTAATAATATTGGCAGGCCAGTCTCACTCGCACTCGCTGTGCTCGTGTAAATCATTGTCCGCTCACTCACGTGTCGAAGTTGGCTTTGTTATGTCAGTTTTTTGGTTTTAAACAGTTCATCGAAGCAGTGGAAATAGAACGCTCCATGCTCACTTTGATCCTGTTCAAACGTTTCTCTTCTAATTCCGTCTTAATTATTTCACACTAAGCGCACGTGCCATTATACCATTTTTGGTGTTTCATTCCGGTAATAGCTACTCATTCATCGCCCCTCATTACCCTCATTATTGCAGTGACACTGAAATAAATTAACTGTTGTACGAAATTTACTTTGTTGCAGGACCAGCATGCCGTTGCAGGACATCACAATGAGCCAGACTTTGCCACTAATGAACGGTGAGTAATATTTGTACATGTTTATAGATATACAATTATAATTTTTATCATCACAACATCCACAGTAAAAAATTTGTGTACTAATTTAACATAAGGCGAATATGTTGAAAAGTAACACAAATATTGCATTGATATTTTAATCGATATTGAAGTATAAAATGTGTTATTTTAACATTTACGCATGTTGAGTATCGACACAACATAAAATGTTGAGATAACATAAATACGATATGTTATTTGACTTATATGTTGTTTATATATTATCTTGATATTTCTATATTCTGTAAAAGTTAAAACAGAACCCAAGTTCACATCGAGTCTCTCAAGTCCCATTTTTTTGTCGATCGATTTTCTTTGATGATACGCGTGGCATAATTAACACGTTCATTGCCAAGCTGAAAATTGGAATTTCGTGTGGTGGCCAAATTTTTTTAATTTTTTTATTTAGTTTTTATTGTGCTCAAAATAAGTTAATATATTATTTATATGCTTTTATTATTATGTGCATAGGATTTATGTACTCTAAATATCTATTACGTGATAACGCGTGATCGGCCGTTTGGCGAGAACTCGCATCACGCGATATCGCGTGATTGGCAATGAACGTGTTAATATTTCTTTCATCGGAAGTCGGCGTCCCTATGAATAGCCGGATATGATTTTACGCTCTATAAAGACGAAGGCGAGGCGGAAGCGGTGGTATAGCGAGCGATTATACTCGTATTTATTATTTACGACCTCGTAGCGGCGATTACATCGTGTATCGGCAGATATCTCGATAGATCAGCCCGCCACTTGAAGTTGAGTCGTCATCGATATTGCGCGTCACAATGAGATGCTCGTTTGTGTAGTTCTTTCCCTTGTGTGCCCACCTTTATTAGCCATTTCCCTTAAGTAATTAAACCCTCCGCCGTTGTAATTGCAGCTGCAAATATGACGGGCGTGTGATGCTGCGTTAAGTTGTGCATCAATTATAACGCTCCCAGTTGGCGACCGTTTATCCCAATCGCGAGAATGAAAATAGGAATTAATTTATTTTGAGAGTATCACACATACACACACGCGCGCGCGCGCAAGTGAGTTTTCGTACCGTTTCCCTCGATCATCCATTTACTCCACGCTCTTACGATCCGCGACACCCGGCTATTACAGATTGAACGTTAAGATTTTCGGTTAACGCGGTCTGACCGCCAAGGCAAACAAGAACTATTCTCGACGCAGGATCCATAAAGTCATGCGATGCATAACTTAAATGCCGCGAGCAATTAAACAGGAATAAGTTCGATCAACGTTCAGCTCGTATTAAGATTCTTGTAAATCGGACATGTTGAATTGCGTGTACACTTAATAAACAGTAACGAACGAACAGCGAGTGCAAATATTCCTTGTTACGTTTTGGAAAATATGTATGTCGTAACAAATTTTAATAGAACATTTCGGGAAGATTTGTGTGTGTGTGTGTGTGTGTGTGTGTGTGTGTGTGTGTGTGTGTGTGTGTTAAAATATTTATACACCACTTTCTATTATGTGTTCATTTCTATTAACTCAATTAACGTATAAATAAAGTATTAATAAGAATAATAAAAAATAAATATCTCTGTGATTGTAATATTTGTGCATATATTTGTCTTAATTATATATGTGCATATAATTGTTTTAATTTCGCTCAAAATTAACATATATTACTTAGGTAGTTAAATAAAAAAAAGTTATAGGATATATCTTTTTTTTTTAGATCTATTTATATTTTTTCTTATTTTTCATATTTTATTTTCTCATCTTATTCTTTAGGTATATTTTTTTTTAGTAAATAAACTTATAAGAGGCCCCTTAATATCGCCGCTGAAAATCCGTTACTTTACGGATCAATTATCTTAAATTCGTTATTCGCTCATTACTCGGCTCTCGGTGTACCTTTAGAGGCCGTGTAAAGACGCGTAGGAGGTCTCCTGTAATTTGCGCGCGGCGCGGCGTAGGCACACGACTCGTTACTCCCATTCGCACGATCTGCATTTTCCGCCGTTATTTGCTTCGTCGCGGCCGATTGTGCGGAGGTGCCGTTGCGTACGGATCAGCGAGAACACGGCACGTGACACCGCGGCCGCCTAATTGTATCTCGCACCATGTTAGCGAGGCCAACGAACTTTCTTAGCTTGTGGTTTCACTCTAGCGAAGACGTCGGGCGTCGTCGCTGAGAGCGAGCAAGGATAGTAACAACACATAGTATAGTAATCGCGTTGTCTACTTTGAATTCACACGATGTGTCTGCCAACTTTTACACTTCCGTGACGGGTCTCCCTTGCGAATCCGTTTGTAGAGAGTTCGCGATGAGGGTTTTTCCTGAGGAGTAGAAATTTGACCAGAGACCTATGAGGATAAAGAAAATTGCAAAAAGCAATTATCATTAATAATTGTCGAATAATTTTGGTAGAATTTTGGTAAAATTTGAAAGTTTGAGGAATTAAAAGAAATCAGAGAGTAGTGGATATTTTATTTAACCATATATTTTACTTCTATAATAAAATAATTAACATATTAATAAATAATTAATAATTAATAAATAATATATTTTGCTTCTATTATTATATAATTATACATATATGTCTCAGAAAATAGTGAATTACAATTTTTATTAATAAATAGATTAATATAAAAATTGGAACACTTTTGATTATTAAAAAAATTTATTCAGTCGTGAAAAAGTTAAGAGGAAATTAATGATGAAGTTCTAATAATTATTTCCATTTTTAAACGATATAGCGATATAACGTGTAACATTTGTAGGAGCTCACAAAAGCCATAATTATCCGACTCAAATATTACGAATCACCGCACGTCATCGTGTCAACCTATCAATGCTCAAATTATAGCAATTGGGACACATCCGCACTTCGATTCAGCTCTCGAAGGGATCTAAAATGGTAAAATGGTCAAGGTCATGGGTGCGTTGCACGTCGCAGACGAAATGGGGTGGGTGCAGTTTAAGAAAACGTCGTCGTGTCTTCTAATCTCGTCGAAATTATTGTTCGCGTCGTCTGAAAAATGTCTGTCGCGATCTCGCGTTACAGGAAGCTGTAGCATTTATTTCGGTGATCCAGCAGCGCGTTCATGTCGATGAGGTAGGGGAAGAGCACACGAACGATAGAACACATATACACACACACATACACACACACATACGCATGTATAGATGGAGACGACGAGGAGAGACGTAGCGCGTATTTATTTCTGTAACGCAGGAGGCATATAATTTTACTATTCATTCGCGCTCTTGCGGCTTGCTTTGCAAAGAGAATTTTATTTTTAATTATAATCTTCTCCCTCCCCCCCCCCCNCCCCCCTCCCCTAAGAGAAATAAGGAATTCCTTACGTTTGTGGAAACTACCTTGTGTTTCTGAACTTTCAACACTGCTCTGAGGTTTTCGCATTTAGTTGCAACTAGCGACATAACTCTTTACAAGCACACAATGTTTGAAATTTGCAAAAAGAGAGAAAGAGGATGAAAGACCATTAGCGCTAAGAGTACTCCTAGGAGCCATAAAATTTCGTTAAGTGATGCTCGACAGCCAGGCCAAGTAGCACCGATGGTTCTCAATCTCGTTGAGCGTCACTTGAAATACTTATACATGTACCTTGTATATGTGTGTTACAATAATATAAATTAAGTGAGCTTAGTTGTAATATATAAGATAAGCAAATGGTTTTAAAGTTTCGAAAAAGAACGTTTTTTCCTCATATTTCCATAGATTTTTTCGGTTTCTGTCCCAGAAGTGCAAAAATTCGTTTAGAAAAATTCACGTATATTTGGTTAAAAGGTGTTACATTTATTTCTTCCCGCAAAGAAGATGAAAAATCGAAGAAATATTCGCGGACAAAATTGGAAAAAGGGTTTTTCTAAAATGTTAAAACTATACACGCAAATCCCAATTTTTCCCAACACGACACACTGGCGGTTAAATTTTTCAGTCACGAACCTCTTGTACTTTGAGCGACACAAGCTTGTTCTAGGAGGATTTATATTTAGATACATTATGAAAATCGCTCATTTTACAAGATCGTCTCTTGATTAAGATGATGGATCCCATGCCTCACGTTCACAAATGTCGGCAGACGTCCTGAACAGACGCGGAGTCTGTCGGGGTGCAACTGGGTGTCGTCGGGTTACGAGCGAACACGTGGTATCGCGTCCTACTAGTCGGTCTCTCGAAATAAACGGTGAGATCGTTTGTTTCTAATCCAAATCTACCGTAGGAATTATTGGCCAGCTCCTTGTTACCCGGAGACGAGCAAGCCAAAGCTTCATTTTCAATTTTGCGTCGTTCCGCCGGAGACGAATGTCGGCCACTCAAAGCTCAACGGCGCTCAATAAGAAGCTATTTCACAGATGATAGTAATGTAGGATGACTCATATATATAGAGGACTATTGTTTGTCTCGCATATAATGTATTAATAGATAGAAATCCTCGGAGAGCAACAGGCCCGACGACCCGAAATAACGTATCACGAGACAACTGAATTTTTCGTCGACCGTGAAACAAGAAAACTGATTCATCAAATGATGAAATTGCGAACGCGATTATTTATCCGCGATATCAGCGAGGAATTTCCCCAATTTTTGCTTTGGCATCAAGCTCTTGCGTATTCAGCTTAGCTCTCACACATTGCCAAATTATTTAACGCGTTCTCGAATCTTTGTCTCGCCGCGTATTATTAGCTAACAAAAGCGAAGCGATGCAGCGTAGAAATATCCCCGTTGAAATCGAGGACAACGGTCATCTCCATCCGGTGGTGAGATTTTAATTGCCTGCCGGACTGGCCAGATTGGAGATTTGGACAGAGTGGGAGGGGGGGGGGAGGCAGAGAGAGAGAGAGAGAGAGAGAGAGAGAGACCGCGGGAGAAGCGGAGGCTGACCTGCCAAAATAAAGATAGTTTAAACCGTTCTGGCCTAAATGTGTCATCTATAAATAAGCAGAGCTCGCTCTCGCGCGGTCCCACTCGCCGGCGCGAATCGATATCATCGCAGTTGCACCGCCGAAAATCGCGGGGTCCGTCGCGCAAACGACGCGACCGATCTGGCAGGAAATAGATTTGTTCCGGTGCGCGCACAAAGCTCTCGGGTCTCTACTTCTCTGCCTCGAGTCTTTCTCTCTTTTGAGCTTTTTGCGCAAGCTATTAAGACACGATGTCCCGTGACGTTGGCGATGACCTCCGTCGATGACAGGCCAGATGCGAATTCACTCGTGCCTTTAACGTTTCGACGGCATTAACTCTCGCGTGACCCCTCCGCGCGAGGTCTTCGTACTCGTAAAACGCGTTGTGTCGTTGGAAAAGAGCTAGTCCGAAAAATTCCGTCTCGCTTTGTCTGACGATGCTTGAACCGTCGGCGTTGCGGGATGAACTTCCTGATAAATGCACATTCGCCAATAACAATGTCTCTGTCGGGATGATTGAGCAACACTAGGGTCTATCTTTGACTAAGTCTGACTGACAGACTGAAGTTGCGATGCTCCTTTGCAAACGACACTTCCGATTCCCCCGGTGGTACCGTTCCACATTTAGGAAGGAAACTTAACGCCGGAGCAGAATGACCGGGTTTGTCGCGGATAATTCCGCTCCGCTTGGCGGTGTGACATTTTGGGCACGAAGGGCACGTGGGAAACGTGTAGATCGTTCATTAGACGAGATGATTCACTCACGTCCAGCACGGTAGAATTATAAGTCGCTTCTAAGTAGCTTCGCGTTATATACTTATCACACGGGAAATCGCGAACTACCAATAGACAGTATTCATGCGATTCTACAATACCTTAAATCGTGTCTAATATTTCGAATTAACTTTCTGTTATTTCAGAATCGCGAGAATCGTTTCACCGCGAACGCCACGCTGCACTTTGCGCTATTCGAGACACGAAATTTCCTTTCTTTTCTATCATCGCTTTACTATAAAGGCGGGCTGTCGATTCGAGAGCACGTGTGTGACCGACCTTCGCAAAACGCATCTATATATCGTGACATGCGCGTTTAGAACATAATTTTAACCGCGGATTGTAGCCTTGTGTCTCTGTCGCTGCTTGTTATTCTGTCGCGGTTAGTATTTGTGCAGCCGCCGTGGAGTCTCCTTTGCGACGTGGTGTCTCGCTCGGTGCCTTTTATGATTTCGCACTGACGTTTAAAAATGTAGCGACTTCAAAAACGCGTTCTTCGTGGAATGGGATGTGGTAGGTCGCAGCTGAGAACTTCTTTTCTCCCTAGGGACTGCGGGAACAAGCCCATCCAGATCGAAATCACGTTCGGTAGGATATTTTACTGCAGATTCGCTATTCCTCGATATATGTGTGTGTATGTTATTTAGGGAACCTGGTTAAAATCGAATCGGCGTAGAATGTTGACGTGAGTGGGACTGAGAGCATCGATAAACTTCGATTGTGTATGCTCGATCGCAGCTGCTCGTAATGATAAAGTAGTAAAACGGCGCGATTAATTCATAGACGGCGTAGAGAGCAGCAGGTCGTAGGATAGGAATTGTTTGCTCTCTGATCGCCGGTAATTGCCAGTAAGTGATAAATGAGCGCAGCCCGAGAGACTATCTAGCGGTATCCTTTCAACGTGTGAACGTGTAGGAGAAGAAAATAGAGGAGACGAGCGTTAATTCTTCGAGCGCGATTATCCTTAGGGAGCACAATGTGTATATGGTCGCAAAAAGGTTGCAACATTTTTCCCGAGTCTCGCAATATATATTTTGTATCGAATAAAAAAATGTATCTCCTGAGAAATTAGAGAAGTATTACTAAAAAACACTCTTATTGGACACGGAATGCGTTCTGAAATTTATAAAAAATGTGTTGCAATCTTTTTGTGACTGACGTGAGGAACGTGTTCAATTCGTTCCTTCTCTCTCTCTCTCTCTTTCTGAGACTTGCCTTCTTGAAAAAGCAGAGTGTTACTGGGAAAACTGAAATTCTCAGGGAATTTGCTTATGCCTGAAAAAATCGGAGAATTTTCAGAGAATTTTTTTTTCAGATTTGCGTAGATACTCTGAAAAGCCAAAAAATGTCGGCACAAAATTCAAACATGCGAGTCATTCTGGAATGTCCGTTGCCCGACGCGAAAGCGTTCACACTCTAGAGTCGTTTTGGCGTGCGATATGATGCGCCAAAATAATTTGATTTCATAGGTACACGACGACGGCGCCGACCCATCCTGCAAGGTGGATTTGGCACCAGTTGCTCAGACGGGCTGAGAATAAACTGATTTAACCGACAGATGCTTGTCCAAAGAATTATCCTAAAAATAGCGCGCAATTATTATTACCATATATTAAAGTTTTTTTTTTTATCGTGTTGCAAAGGAACACTTAAAAAATTTCCAAAACTGCTATTTCGGAACTTTTGGCCGTGATTAGCCGATTCGCCTGCCATTTAAATTTTTATCATATTACATGGAAACGTAAAAGATTCGTAAAAATTACACTTGTGAATATGAGACGCGCGCCGCTGTTTCGAAATACTTGGATGTGATTAATCAATTCGCTTATTGCTCAAATGTGGCTTATATTTTTACACACGGCCTCGTGGCCTACGTATCAGACTCGCGGAATTTTTTGATAAGAAGCTAGGCATTTTAAAAATTATCGAACGCTGCGCTTTTGTTTTTATCGCTTCATTCGCGTAGAATTCATTCGGGGGAGAATTGAGAATTTCGACATGAATGATTTCGGATTTAACGCGGTCGTACGGAATATCGCGGTCGTTCAAAATTCGGCTCCCGTCAGCACGTATCGGAGATGATGCGGCCGAAGCAAGAAGCGTAATTATTCGGGTGACAAATACAAAATTGAACTTGACAAAGGCACACCTAAAATTATTCCCTGGCCTTGCACGTAATATCACGTTGCTCCCTCCCTCTCTCTCCCTCTCACGAGGTATTGCACATGAAAATGCGTTGTTGGCGCAGTTTAACGTGAAAATTAATTATTTATAATAATAAATAGTCGACAGCTCCTTCGGTCGAATAATTTATTCTTACATTAAAAAAAACGATAAAGTATTCGGAGCACTTAAGTGTTCTTTTGACACTACAAATTGCAAAACTTTGCTAATCGCATTGCCACAATCGCATCATATCTGTTGTGGACGCCTAATTGGTGAGTTTAGGTTCAACCTGTGAACGCTACTTGTTTCAGGTGGAAACCCAGCACCATATGGTACAAGTTCTGCTGGAGCCAAAGACGGAACGTCGATGGCGGGATTGGCAGGTTGGAGCGGAGGTAGCGGCGGTGGCGGAGTCGGCAGAACCATGAAAGAATATGAGGATCTGTTAGGGAACTTGCAGAAGGAGAACTTTAATCTAAAGCTGCGAATTTATTTCCTAGAAGAACAAGCAGGCATCTCTCAGACCGACCAGGATGTGGTTAAGAAAAACATAGAGTTAAATGTAAGTTCATGTTTGAATAACTTGTGCAGGAATATTTTATTGTTTTAAAAAAGTATTATATATAATAAAGGTATAAAAAAATTTTGCTAGCGAAATTTGTGCGCAATTATAATTTATTTATCCTTATTTTATTTTGTCTTATTCTTATTTTATTTATTAAATCTGTTTAATTGCCACTAATCGATACATCAATGGTTTTCAGGTCGAGATGGAATCTATGAAGAAGGAATTAATAGAGAAACAGGAACTTCTCAGTCAAGCGGCAAAAGCCTTTGAATTAATCGAGGAGCAGAAAGAAGCGACTGCCCGAGATCAAGCTCAACGTCAGCAATTGCTTGAGAAGGAACGGGAGAAAGTGACCAGACTCGAGAAAGGTCAGTATAAACAGAAATGATTTGACCTTGTACAAATGCAGCAAGGAAGTTTGGCATTATTTTAAAATTACAAGACCTACATGCGAAATTTATACATTCTACTGCAATTTGTTGCGTGTCTATTATACCCAATTGTCTGCGTTATTTCAGAATTAACGGAGTACCGAGAAAGAGATATAAACGCGTCAATGTACTATAAAGAAACATTCGGCCTCACCCCGGAGCAGGCATTGGAAAACACAGAAAAGTTGCGACAAATGGAAGAATTGGTGGCCTCTCTCGAAGCGGAGGTATGCTCTTATAGATCGTTTAATAAGAACTAATACATTGTTCCATACGAAGATCCACATCTAGGTCACTGTGATACATAGACAAATTTGATAAATTATCGTGACTCCCGTTCGTATCTCGTAATTTTTGAAAACCTTTGATTAATTAACGATCTTATCAGTGATCAAAAACTACTTTTTATTTAATCTTTCTAATAATATCAAATATGTTTATATAAATTTTGGGATTATCATGTAAAAAGTAGCATTTATAGAGTTAACTTTTAAACAAAAGAATTAAATTTTTAAAATAATTTAAAAATTATATATTAAGTAATTTAAAGTATTATATATTTTATATCTATTCGAAATTTTTTGTAGACTCTTCTAAAAATAATTATTCCATCCAGTCGGCGTTATAATCTGGTAGTGGGATATTATCAGCGTCCGTTTCCTTTCCTTGCCACGAACGGGAGTGTAGTCTTGATAATTTGAGCGTCACAGTCTCACAAGAAACACTAGTTAGCATGTTAGCTTCCCACACGAGAAGTGCAATTGTCGATAGACGTAACTTTCGCGTACAAGAACTCGCATTTCTTGCATCTATCGACGAAACGCACGCGACCTTCTTATCGTTCCACGCAACGTGGATAGTAGGCTGTTCTCGTTTGTATTTCCGATGTTTACCACGATGTGGAGACCGTGTTCCGTTGATAAATTAACAACGTGAGAGGGTGGCGTGGGAGATAGTAGTGCAACCACAATTACACATTTCACTTGTTTGAGAAATTCATGCCGTGAAGAGTCTTTAATCTCGCCAACTGACAACTTTATAACGTCCGCAACAAAAATTCGTACTCGTGACAGACAAGACGAAGATTTGCGATACTCGAATAACTGCAACACTCACGGTGTCCAGGTGAAGCAGATAAGCAGCAGTTTGGAAGAGGAGCGCAGCTGGGCGCAGGAACTCGAGAACGAGAGGGACCAGCTGAGGGAGCGACTGGACGTGGAGGTGCGACTCCGCGAGAAGCAGGACACGAATCGAATGTGTGACATCGACGGGCTGCGTGAGAAGGTGAAGGAGCTGGAGGAGCAGTTGTTCAAGAAAGACTCTACTGTGCAACAATACAGAAACGACCTCGTCGAACGCGACCGGCTCATCAAGGAGAAGAGTGCGCTGCTGCTGGAGAAGTGCCAAGCGTACGAGGAGCTCAATCTGGTCTCCGAGAAGAGGAAACAGCAGATCGTGCAACTGAGAGCATCCGTGAAAACTCGCGACGACGCCCTCACGGATCTCAATTATAAGCACCGCGCGTTGTTATCACAGGTGAGTCAGTCTTTGCGGCAGGATCTTGATCTCACTTTGAAAATAATAGCGTATTCCATTTGCTGGTTCAACTCGACGCAACGCGTTCCATTAATTGCTACCAGTACTAAAATCTATATTTTGTATTATGTGTACAGAAAGAAAGATTTCTTCTGATTTAATAAAATGTCTTTGATTGAACCAAATTTGTCTTTTGGAATAGTGCAAATAAATGAATGTTTGATTCGACAAACAGGATCGTTTAATTTCTCAAACAATAAATATCTTCAAATAAGATATTTTTTTTTGTATTTTCATCCAAACATTACAATGATTGTCACACACTATTAAACTTGGACTAGAAAAATGCAGAGAATTTTTCAGCAGAAGGTGTAGGTATTATTTTGCGCGATTCCCAGAGTTATCAATCTTTTACAATAGTGTCATATTTAACGCTTTAAACGTGCTTGTTTATGAATCTTGGCTGGTAGTAAGACGTTGCATATAATGGGTGTAGTCTCTGAACAAGATAGCGCATTTAGTGCTAACCACGTGGTGAGAACGCGGCCTCGGATGTCTCAGGCCTGCCTCTGTCTTAAATCTCCCATAATTCTCTCATATTTCCCTACCCGTTATAATTACCGATTATCTTCTCTACATTGTAGTGTGAAAATAGCTATGGCAAACGCTCATCGTCCAGCAGTCCCTCGACTTTGAATCCATTGACGTCCCGTTTATCGCCATCTATGGGGCAGAAACCGTCTTGTGTTCGCGATATCATGGAGATGGATGGTACGTACACCGATTTGGAATCGTACAAAGAAAAATCGGTAAATTTGTCACCCCTACAAATGGTCGGCGAGGATACCAGGGAAGTTATCCAATTAACGAAGGTTGGTAATCTCGACGATGTCCTTACATATTTTCTTGACTTGAGGCCTCAGCCTCAAAATGTTTGATTTATAATTTTAAGTTTTATGCCCTGAATCTTTATCTAAATTGTCATTTGTTTATTTTTTTTATTATACAACGATTTGTCATCAATCATCAAACAGAACGGCTTTTTAGTTTAAGATTCAAGACATAAAATATCCCAGATAGCAAAATATACGTTCAGCACGTGTTCACATATTGATGTAAAATTATTTCAAAAATGCATAGAAATGCGTACTTTGCTCAGATGTCATTCGTGTCATGTCAGAAAAACATTTAATAGCATTAGTTAAAATCAAATCAAGAACGTGCACACATATTTGTACATCATGTATTACATCTTGTGCTATCATGTCATGTTAATCACATAATGAAACGTGATCATCACGCATTTCTATCTGGGATTGTCTTAAATCGATAAATCAGCTATTCTGCTAAAACTCTTGTTCTGTACGATAATCCGACTACTGAAGTGTTTGACTTGCAGGAATTAGAGGAGAGGGACAGCGAATTGAAGCGACTGGAGGAAGCAAGGAAGCAGTTAGTACTGAGACTGTGTAACACGCAAAAGTACGCGGAGAATACGGAGCAGAGGCTGAAGAAAATGGAAGGCGAGCACGAGAAAGCCATCAGGGCGATACAGGGCTTCATGGAGCGCGAGCAGCAGATGCGAGACGCGAACGCGCGGAAGGAACGGAGAATCCTGGAACTGGAGGTGGAGTTGCGCAAGTTACGCGACTCCGATGACACGAAGGTGAGAAGGAACGAACACGATCTCGTCTTGTTGAAGGACCTTGGCGTCAGGCACGCGGACGGCAGCGAGAACAGTTCCTACAAACAGGTCAATATTGCGATTTACTTGATTTTCGTTGTTGATCTCTGCGTTTCCGCATAACAAAGCGTGGAGACGCACTCTTTGCTTGACGAACAGCACGATCGGACAGCTCGATATATCGGATTCTCTCTCTCTTTCTCTCAGAATCACTAAATTCATCTGATTTTTTTTTTTTCCATTTTATGCCATCGTCACTATTACTGCATGACTCTCTGCGGATTATACACTAACCAATTCTTTTATTTCAAAACGGAAATTGCAATAAAATTTATTAATTAATACTTCATTTTGAATGCTTGATTCGTCTTGTTTCATAATTTTTTTTTCTTTTTGGATGATGTAAGTTTTTAACAGTTTGCTCTTAATTAACATTATTTTCATTATTGAAGACATTTTGCAACATGTCAATGAATTTTTTTTTTCTAACTTACTGATCATCTGATTAATGTAAGAAGCAATGTATTTTTTTTTCCTTTTTTTTTTTTTTTTTTTTTAGGAGGATAAGTAAGATTATTACGCAAGTTGATTTGCATGAAATACAACATCTCGGGAAAAACAAAATTATAAAAATTAATTTTCTTAAGAATACAGAAATTTACTATAAATGCTTCTTTTTTATTTTTATTGTGTTAAGTATCAGAAAGAGAGAATTGTTCCAGTTTATACTCGGTGTGTTACTTCATTTAACCCGCTTCGATGGCAAAATCGTCGCGCACGATGTCGAAAGAGCCGCGAGCGCGCGTCCCTCGGCGAAAGATCACGGAGCCTTAAAACGTGGCCCGCTTGGTATCTTGGGAATACCATGCAGAAGACGCGGCCGTCGTCTATTAATAGAGGCCGTCGCCTCCTCTCGCGGCTTCTTACGGTCTACGCGTCGCGGTACGCGGCAGTCCTCGTACGAAAACTCACCTCGACCGATCTGCCGCCGCAGCCCCGCGGTAGCGCCGAACGAACAATAATACACGAGTACAGTAACACGAGCAAGAAAAAACGAGAGAGACGGAGATTCGTCGCCGATCCTCCAGCCCTCGGTATTCGAGAACGACTTGCGTATGCTCTGCAAATATATAGCGTACGGTCATTGAGCCTTCTTAATTTAATCGATATAGCGAGAAGAAGTCGCTGCTTACTGCATGGCACACGTGTAGAGAGTAAACAAGAATTTTCAGTCTTCGCGTATTTCGCGTGAAAATTGGCCAAAGATTCCAAGTTGATTCAGAGCTTTTCCTTTTTCCACGTTGCAAGTAAGAGTGACGGAACGCTATTGGAGTAATGATGTAAATTTTGGTAACTAATTGCGATCACACAGGGAGCTGTAGCGATTCAGAGCTAGATAATAAAATCGTGAGCAGTGGACGCGAAGAGATAGTTGACGCCACGGCGTAATCTTTGCGGAAATCTAGATATTCACCAGTGCTTCGTGACCGAGTTAGCACTGACGTAGAGTATCTGTCCACGAATTGATCGATCGATCGATCAATCTTCCGCTTTCATTTCTGCCCTGATCCTGGTTGAGTTTAAAGTTCAAGCGTAAACAAATATGTTCTCCTGTCTGTGCACCTCAATGCGGATGGAGGTAGGTATGATGGCTACCGAGTGCTGCGTGCTTTCTCTCGATCGGGACGCTCTGTGTACTTACTGCTTGTGTTAAAATTTCCGCCCTTTTGCACAGCATGATCGTGTATTATGACAGATTTGATTAATACTTGTCGAGGTGGGTTTTTGTCTGAATTGTCAATTGCTACGGTTTGCGGTGATGTGTTGGTAGTATTGTTCGAAGAGTTGTACACGAGAAAAAAGTTTGCTTGAATTTACTAGACAGTGAAGAAACCAAACGCGCTTTGACCGAAGGAAACAGAATTTCTGGTCGCAAGAACCAAATTTGAACCATAAAAGTCAGAATTATGATTTCTTTCACTCAAAACGCTTGTGGTTTGTTCGCTGTCTGGTAAATTCAACCGAAATTTTTTTTTTTGTGTATAAATTCGTTATTGGAAAGAGAAAAGGAAAACACACACGAATATCGTCAGTCCGTATTACAAGATTTTTACATTTTTGCAAAATAGTAGTTAAAAGTCCAATTAAAAATCGTAATTTCATACAATAATTGCGGAGTATATTTCCAAGACCTTACTATGTAACTTTCAGGATGGCAAATTTCTTTGGAATCAAGGAGCAAGAAAGATGACAGGAAACCTGTTTTTCTTTTATAGGGACCGGCGATTGTCACGCTCGTGCCGCCGCGATGTTGGTCTAAGAGAACGAAAGTTAACAAATAATGTTGTAACAAATAATGTTGTAACCCTGTCCATGTCTATAAAAACATATAATTTGTGCATGTAATCCTTTGGCGATCTATTCCTTCATTAAACACATTTTTACAAGACTCACCGAAAACTCCTCATACTAAACACGGGAATTAAATTATCTAGTCGTACTGTAATTGAAACTATATCCCTGAATAAAATATCTTTGGTGAACCTAGTAGTTTGGGTTTTATTGACGAGAACGATACTTTATGCTTACAGCAACGTTTCGAAGAAATGGAAAGCAACATTAATGATCTGCGGGGCGAAATCGAGACAATAAAAGCCGAGAAGTATCTCTTGGAAAAACGGATACAGGCGGAATCTGAGGCATGTGTTTACAGCGAATATATTTTATCACTCAGCGTTGATATGATGTAGAAAAATTGTGTATACATATCTAGACCCAGTAATAAGTGTTCAATGTGTTCGTCACAAAGATAATTTTTAAATAATATAAGACTTACATTTTCTGAAAAAAAAAAAAAAACTAACATAACTATCTAATTCAAAATACAATGAACATACATTTCTTTTTTAATTTAATATATACATAACTGTATTCTTGTATTTTTATGTTTGTTTGTTTTGTTAAAACATATGTCAGAAACATGTTTAAGAATTCTAATGACAATTTCGCTTCTTTTCAATGGGAATCAAGCTGATTTGTGTCTCCGATATCTCCTGTTCTAGGAATTACAAGAACGTCTTCACGATAAGGAGCAAAAGATCGAGATTCTGGAGACGGAGAAGCAGACTGTCGCGAGAGAATTAACGGACAAGATCACCGAACTGGATGATAAACTTAGGCATGCCGAGATGAACATCACCGATGACGATGCTCCACGACGGGAAGAACTGCTCGAGCAACTGAAAGTACGGGACGTCGAGATCGAGGAGAAGAACCGGAAGATCGAGCAGCTGACGAAGGAACTGCAGGTGAAGACTCAGAACCTGCAGAAGCTGGTCAACACGGAGCTCTGGAGCAAGAACAAGGAAATCGCCAAGCTGCACAATCACATGACTGCGTCGTACAACTCCGATAGAAGCCGCAATAAACCCGAAACCGTCCAGGAAAGCGGTAGTTCGCAACTGTCGAGTCTGATTCGTGAGTTGGGCGAGATCGGCATCAGAGCCACCTTCGCGAACGAAACCGCCCGTTTGAATTACACCAATGGAAACGGAACGGTGGACATGAAGACGCTGGGTGAGTACGTTCGTAGACTGACGAGTCAGAAGAACGATCTCGAGAAGGAGGTGGACTACCTGAAGTGGCTGAAACTGGTGTCGAAGCCCGACATCAGTATGGAGATCGACGGCTGTGACGACGACAGCGAGTGGGCGAAGAAATACTGTGAGCTGTTGCGCACGCATCTTAAGGACCTAATGAAGTTCATGAAGGAGATGCTGAGGAACGCCGAGCGCGCGGACACCGCCGGCACGGAGCAGAAAAAGATGCTGTTGGATGTTTTGCTCAACTCAAAGATGCTGTCGGATGATTTTGTGCGCGCCCTCGATGACGTGTCCGCGCAGGACGGCGCGATCGCGCACGATAGGCTCGAGAATCCCGCGAAGAAGACTCGGCCCGAGGACGTCGCTGAGGCAGTGAAGAATCAGGCCTCGCAGTCGGATTCCGAGGCATTCTCTGAACCTGACCGAACGGTCTCCATGGCTAGAATCGGTTTGCAGGAAACGCAACACAAGACCCCGAGCCGATCCAGATTTTCTAAGTATACCGTCAAGACCTGCAGCGACTCCGAAGACTCCACGGATTATGTGCCTTATTACAAGTCCTACCAGAATGACTTGAACGACCTGGACACGAGCCACCAGATACAGGAATTGAAGGAAACGAACAACATGTTGTACTCGGAACTTAGTGCCCTGCGGAACGATTTAGTCACGAAAATCTCCTTCGATTGTGTAAGTGGATCTGTATATTTTCAGCGCGGTTGAGTGAGCTAATTTCTATTTTTAACCAAGTTAAAAGTGAGAAGTTAAAAGTTGAAATTAACTTGTTGTGTTAATTTAAAAGTTACCTAAACCAAAAATTAAATTAAAAGTTAAGTTAATATTAAATTGACTCATTAAAATTAAAAGTTAATTATTTAAAATTATATATATATATATATTAACTTAATATTAAATTATATATATTTTTTTATTGATTTTCATTGTATATATATATATATATATATGTATAATGAAAACCAATTTATCTTTCTCTATAGGCAACCGACGAAAAGTTGACTCCTTTCATTACGAAATTGGAGAAGTCTCAAAGGTTCTGCGAGAAGTTACAAGTTTCCCTGGAGAAGAGGATACACGAGTTTCACACTTTGAAGAAGCAGAACAGCATTCGCAAGACGCAGTTGGAGAAGAAGATCAACGACATGGAGCAGATGGCGAATGAAATGAGCAAGCAGAAGAGCGAATTATTGCAGTTCAGGGAAAGCACCGAGAGAAAAACGACGGATACCCTGTTGATTCTCAACAAGGAAAACGAATCGGTATGTTCACTTCTTTTTTCGTACACTAATTTGTGAAAGCTCACGGAAGAACTCATTTATCCGATTGATTTCAGTTACGAGCGAGGATCAAACAGCTGGAGGATGAAACCGAAACTGCCAAGGCGACCATTTCCACTCTCAGGAAAGAGTTAGAACACCTCACTCTTTCGCACAGTGAGATATTCGTGGAGAATAGCAAACTAACGAACGACAAATTGAGGCTCGAGCAGGAAATCAGGAAGATGGAGGGCCGATACGACGGAACTGTCCGTTCGCTGCACGACAAGTTCAGCAAAGAGGTAAGCGAGCATACTGTTTCCGAGTGTTTCCTCGGTACGTTGTTCCCCGCTGCGTGTGTCTTTACGTAATATGTTCGTTGTACAGATATCCGATCTAAATCAGATCAACGACTCGCATAGAGCAAGAGTGCAGGAACTCGAGACTGCGAACAAAGAGTTCAGAAGGCACATAGCGGTGTGCGAAGCCAGCGACTCGGCGCCAAGCTCTAGCGGGGTGTCGTCGATACCTACGGACACTACGCTCAAGCCGATTTGCGACGATATTCTACAAGAATATCAACCTTATAACGTTAGTTTGAATCGTCAGTTTCTAACGTTACATGTAGCTGTTTAGTTATCTGCGAAACACGTAGATTACAGTTGGAGCTTCTTCAAGTACCTTTAAGCCCGAGATATTTACACGATGTGTAATCAATTATGAAAAGTTTGTGTAATGATTGACTTACCATTTATCGGCTAATATTGGTTACACAAATTGTGAATTAATGTAATTATGAATAACGTAATTAGTACATAACATCACGTTATCCCAGTAAAACTGTTAACTAGACGACTGCATGACGTATTTATATCGTATTTTTTCGTCTTGTAGTACTTGAAAATACTTTTGACGATTATTTCGGTTGCTAGACGTCAAGTATAATCTTTTTGATTCTCTTAATCTTCTTAACAGAACTCGCAGTATTGGCAGCTGACGAATTATTCTACAATGGGAGCGCGCAGTAAGTCCAGTTGTTCGCCGGATTTAGGGATAGAAAGCGACGCTGCCGTCACCACCGTGAGGCCCTTGAAAGAGACATTGAAGATCACGGAGTCGATGACCAATTTGCTGAGCGATGAAGAGAACGGAAATGGTAACCACAGAGCTCGAGACTCAGATAGCCAAAGTCCATTACCGATAGAAGGTGCGTTTTAACATGAAATTAATCTTATTTTTCTCTTTTAAGAAACAGTTACTTTGTCGTGTTGATTGTTTTATTTATTTATTATGTTACGTTTCTTTATCTTTCAACAGTTTTCAGATTTATTAAAAAAAAATGTATTATGATTTTTGACAGGTCTTGACGAAGTAGAGGCTTTGAAGCATGAGAATGAATTGTTAAAGCGACGACTGATGAAAACTAAGAAAGCACTAGAGGACACGTTTGAGCATCTATCAGCATCGAACAAGAACAAGAAGAATGTCGAGAAGGCGATAATAAAACAGCTGATGATCACGAAGAATGTCTTGAAGAAGACGAGGACATTCGAGGAACCTTTAAACGACTAACAGAGATCACAGACTGATACATGAAGAACAGAGGAGAACAAGCAGCATGACATTGTTATTCGTGCGATTAGACGTTCTCGAGGATTTATTGTTCAATTGCACGAATGTATCGTGTTTTGTCTGTTTTTATTTGTCCTTTTCCCACATTTACGAGGTGAGAAAACGAACGGTACATATCGGTACAAAGAATTACGATATATACTCGTAGGCATTAATGTTTATCGCCAAATTTTTTAACAAGAAAATTTCTAAATGAAAGATATTTTCATACGGACAAAACACTATTTTCGCTAACGATAGAAATATGAAAACGAAACGAAAGAGAGTTTATGACGACACTGTACATTGAATTTGTATATATTTATATAATAGAATACGCACATGTATGACATTTTCGTAGATTTTCTTTTTTCGTGGAGAATTTCTTCCAAATGCTGATTACACGGCGTAGGACCACGCCGCTCGTTGTAGTCAGCACTCGTTCGTTGACGTATTTCGCTTTAGAATTAACAGAAATTCGCGCGTGTGTGTACATAAGTATTTTATGTATCATAATGTAGTATCTTTCTGTACATAGTCACCATGAATAAAGTGCCATTGATATTTAGAATTTATACTGCAAACGCGTATCCCCCGATATAAGCGAAAGAAATGATTCGGCCGAAATTATCGTCAGATCTGAGATCATTTCGCATTACTTATGCCAACGATGGGACGCTTTTGACAGCTTAAATTGTATTAATTGTATGTGTATATAAGTTGCATTTACTTGCAATTTTATTTGGATTCAAGATTCAACGTTCCGTTGATGTCAACTTGTTATTACAAATTATATTTCCTCCTTTTTAGTTTTGTTGTTTTGTTAACGGTCAACGTTTCATTCGGTTGCCAATCTATTTAAAAGCAAATAAATGCAAAGTTACGTTATACAAAAAAGTGAAAAATATACGTCTGGTGCGACAAGTGCATGAGTGTGTCGTAATTGTAAAGTTCTCCACGTGCCAATATTGGGACATTCGCGCGAGAATAAAAAAATGCAACGGCGTAAGATTATGATAGAATTTTTATTATCACTCCATGACTAGATAATAATATAAAGATCCGTAATAACTCATAATGATGTGAAGTGTACGAACTGCGCCGGACATGCGAACTCTTACGGCCGCGCGCGCACACCCGGCGAGGAGCGGAGAAATACGATTCTTATACTGTACAACATTAATCTCTCTTACTGGTCTAATATACCTTTCTTATCCGTTTCCTTCTGTCGCGCCTTCTCGCGACAATCGCATCCGCTGGTAGAACGAACGTTTAGGGGAGAATGTGGGGAAGTATCGAGAAGGACGTTAGAAGAGGGGGGCTTTTGGGAGCGAGATACCGGAGGATTTTTTTATATACAATTCTACAGCGACGTTCTCACGTCTCTGCCGCTGCTTCCGCTCGTTTTGCACGCAAGCATGCTGCATTAATAATGGATATGAGACGCGTAGGTCAATTATAACACAATTGTAGCTCAAGTGAAGACCTATCAGCAACAACATTCTCAATAGAATCGACGTAATGAAGATATTCGAAGGAATTACGAAGATAAGATATTCAGCTGTTCGATAAGTTTGTGGGTGAACATCACACAATCCCCAGAAATAAAAAAACCGGAAATTTGAGAAGTGGGACAACATCCCGAAAAATCACAATCCTGAAAATTGAATGCCGGAATGATCTCCTGAAATATTGAAAGCGTGTAATTATCCCAAAAACTGAATATCAGGATAATCTGAAATATTGAAATATTGGAGAAATTATAACTTTGCAAGACAACTTAATTTTCTTCTAATTTTGGAAGATCGTCCTGGTATTTTCAGTTTTCGAGATTGTGACTTTCCGGGATGTCCTACTTTTTTTTTTTAATTTTGGCATTTCTTCGGGAATATGCATGTCAACTAGTTTGTGGGGAAGTTTACAAACAACTCAAAGCAAATCCGATACACCCATCGGCTTTGAACTCTTCGCAAAAAAAATTCTTATGAAAGTTTCTCATAAATTCTTATGGAAAAGAAATTCCTATGAATTTTTCAGACAACTCGATAAATTTTGAATTTAAATAACATCTGTATCTACGAGATACGTAACATTCGTATACTTCATCTTATACACGATATATAAAAAATTATATGTATGATATAAGATGAAATATCCTGCTATACACACCATAGGTGCATATATACATTCTGTGGATGTTCTATGAAGATATTTTGCGTTGACAGCTGATTGAAGAGCAAGAAAACAATTGTTTGTTGATCCAGACGCGCGTCATATATTATTATCATGTGTCTTTATGCTTTAGCGCTTGTCGTATCGCAAACTTCGTTAATGCTGTCTTATTTCTTAAGCACAGTGACATCGAAGGTTTACAATATAGAAGCATTATTTGTGCATCACGACTGTTGATAATTTGATAAATCGGCGACGATTCGCCAAAGCAGCGGTTATGATGCACGAATATTCAAAAATAACGCACCTAATTGGAGATGACTTGTTGATATGCTTGAACAATGGTACAGCATTAATGAAGTCTGCTGTGCATTCAAATCGATCGAATTGTTTTTTCTCTCTTGCTTTGATCACTAGCATATCTTGCGCTTTACAAGACGGGAACAGCCTCTCGATTTCTTCTTTCTCTGTATACACAATGGCGAGTCGCTTATGAGTTATCGTTAATCGACGGCTTTACGTTGACCTCGTTAATCGATCAGCAGCGAGGTGCAGTTCGAAGTTAATGTAATTTTGATCGTTGACCGCACAGATCGTCGCGACGCGAAAGTAGCGACGCGTAATTAAGGCGCCGATCAATTTCGCTAATAAGTACAATAAAGTACAATAACGCTTTGCTTGTGTTGCCCGCGCGTCGCAATCGCTGCGAATGTTCAATGCGAGAGAATTCAACCTAACGTCGCGACTTTCGCGCGTTCCGACCCTCTTGCGCAACTTCAACTAGCGAGGAAAAGTTTCCGAGGCGGATTCGCCTCGATTTTGAATATTATTTCCGTAAAATGTAACACACTCGGTCACGCCGAATTTAAAGAAAGGAAAGACCGCCTCGACACGTGCGTCGCGATGTGTCGCTGCGGGTTAACGCAAAAACGACTTTGTGATTTTTCAAACTCGAAGAACAATACTCAAAATCGGAGACGTCTTCAAGTCGGATCGACCTTCCCTACGAGTCTAATTCGTACTATTTACAATACATATCTCAATGTTCTAGCGTCACACGCAAGCAAGGTAGATCGCCAACGTACGCCCGATTTTCAGGCTCCAAGTTTTCGACTTTCCGACTAACACGTTCGGACAATCCGACAAGATGATAATCTTGTTAAGAATTCAGATTATACATTCGCGCATACACACACACACGCATACATCAGCATACACACAATGTTCTATCTCGACATCCTCGAGAGTCTTAAAAGACAGAAAGAAGATATATTACGTACAAGGCCTCTATACACAAAAAAAGACGACGGAAATTCGACTCGATCGACGATTCGAATTTTCTTACGTTCATCTCCTCATCTCCGCGAATAGCGGACACGCTGAAACCAACGTGAATCTATGCCAATTATTGTCCCGACGTCCTTAAGAACTTGTCTCGTGGAAATCGGGCTCAAGCTGCGGTACGGTACGGTACGGACAATCGTATTCGTCGTGACGAGTCGGGATTAGCTGGACAACTGCATCGTGTGTCGATTCAGCAAACACAAATTATACAAATGTTGCAATTTTCCACTCAATAATATAATTGTTATATAACAGTTATATTATTTAGTAGGAAATTGCAATTAACATTTATATAACTGTTACTTTGTGTTCGCTGGAGATACTTTGTAACTTCAGAACCATTCGTAACTTGTTAACCGAACTGCAAGAGTTTTGGCAAAATAGCTGGCTCACCAGTTCAAGACGATGTTTTATGCTTTAAGTTTTTGTCTTTAAGTAACACACAATGATCGTCTTGTGTGTCTTATTCAATCTTAAACTAAAAAATTATTCTGTTTATGATTGATGACAAACCGTGGTATAATAAAAAGGTAAACAAATGATAATTTAAATTAAAATTTAGGGCATAAAACATTGTCTTAAAATTATAAGTCAATCATGCCGCCTATGTCTCTCTTTTTCTTGAAGTACTTTTTATTCTTGATTTAAAACTAATTTTTTTTCTACGCGCACGCGTTGGAAATCAGAACAGTTATCGTGGAACTGCTTCGAAAACTTGGAATAATTTCGTCATTCTTTAATTTTTTTTGAGGAGTTGTTGATGAAAAAGAGAATTATTCCGACGGAAAACCTTTCCGATCCCTTTAATTTCATAATAACTGTCCAGAACGGAATGAACTAAATTCGTAAATAGTAGACACATTGATTGACAATTGGTCCATCAGCATCAACGGCGTCAGCTATCGAGCTCTTCTCGCAATCACGACGAATCGATCCGCGTATCGAACAGTCCGGGGCACGTTTAACACTAACTCCTATTTGATTACTCGACAATCAAACCCCGTAATACCGAGAAACGAGGAACTTGTACATAAATATGTTTAGCTTAGTCGTAGTATCGAATGCGAATCGTACGTGTGCCATTAAGTGTAACGTTGCACGGCGTCGATACGGCCGCTTGGATGACGAGAGATCGAGAGGGACGGTGTAAAATACCGGTATAGAATAACTTGGTTACACGCAGACACACACATTCACACATACATACGCACATGCATACACACAAGCCGTATGAGACGTCGGGTGTCGATCATGACCCGGCGCCGACGTCGAAGACGTCGCGTCATCTTCACCGAGAGTGATCTTACCTTCCTTGCAACGCGTCACCTTACGTTGTTCTCGAAATACCGATGCCGAAGTAACGTATGTCATTCCCAGTAAACACCAACAATAACATAACACCAATGTTATAATTTCCCATTCAACAATGTAAACGTAATATAACGCGTGTGTTGTGTAACAGTGTTATATATCAGTTACATTGTCGAATGGGAAATTATAACATTGATGTTATGTTACTGATGGTTCGTGTTTACCAAATTGTTTCTTGCAATTGCACAATGAAAGATGCAAGTATTGAGAAATCTTGTTCTTAATTAAAATTCAACTAACGACGATTTCTCACCCTCAATTAAAAAGATACCCGGCACGTTCCGTGTCGCACGCGGGCGAACCCTCGGTAGACTTTCTTCTCTCGAGTCATAGGACGCTACTGTTATTGAGAGAAACATCATCGCGTAATATCATTTCGTAATATCATCAATCGATGCGTAATTATCGCATATCGGTGGCACACGCGACATGAATGAAGAATCGCGTGTGAAGTCGACACGAAACGCGTCGGAAGAAAGAGAGAAAGTGCATCGCCATGCACCGTGCCCAGGATGACTTCTCGTATTCAGCGAAAAGTGAAGATTCCTGGCGCTTTTTTTCCCCAGGAGAAGACGACGACGACAACGACGACGTGGTCGCCGGCGTCAGGTGCACGCTCCGCGCCGGTAGCACGTTATTCTATACGGTATTTGGCGGCGCGCGGTTTTGGCGGGTTATGTGGCGTAATGGGAGTGGGAGTGCGAATGGTGGTGAGCGTGCGGGGGTGGCGGCTCGCCGAGCCAGGAGTCCGGCGACGGCGGGAAATCGGGGTAACCGCCGCCACCGCCGCTACCACCGCCGCCGCCGCCGCCTCCGCCACCGCCGCCGCCGCCGCTAGACTCGTTGCTCAGATCCGACGCTGGTCCTGGCACCATGCCGCCCGGTCCCCCTGGAATCATACGGCTCGCGTCAGTCGTGAAGCCGCGGCGCGGGTACGAATGATTTAAGTCTTTCTGAGCTTGTATGTCTGCTCCCGGTTGTCAAATCAACGTTAATCAAATTGTTTCATTTTGTCTAGCTTCGGAAGATTATATAATTAGAAGTGCACGGTAAATATATATATTGGAATATATATTATATAATTTTTCACACACATATATATATATATATGCGTGTCAAAAATTAAGACAAAATTAATATCCATAACATGTTAATCGATACTGAAATATAAAATGTGTTTCTTCAACACTCACACATGTTGAATATCGACTCAACAGCAGAGAACCGGTCGCGTCAATCGATTGGTCTCCTCCAAGCGCATCTCGAAAGTAATAATCCGCTTACCGAGAGTGGTGTACACCGAGAGACCGGCGTCCGGCGGGTACGGGAACTGAGGTGGTAAGGACGGCGATCTGGACGTTGAGAGATACGGAGGTGTCGTCGCACCCAGATAACCACGGGGCGGCCCACCCCCGGCTCCGTTACCACCGCCGCCTGGACTCGCGCCTTCGCCGTCCAGGCCCATGTTCACCACCGTGCCGTAACTGTCGTTGCTTAAGTCTGCGGGCAAATAGTTTCCGTTTTCAGACTGAGAAAAGTAAGCGAAGTGGGAAAGAGGAGGAAATGTAAAATAAAAAGCACAACGCGTTCAAATGGATTAAAAGTAGGTCGCAAACGGACTCTATGAAAAGTGAAAACGGCGAAATATTTCTATAAGGGCTCACAGAAGCGACTACTTCGGTGATTCCATCAAGTATTACCGAAGTAACGCGATAAGGAAAATTCTCTTTCGAATACATAGTTGAGAAGATACCAGCCTTCGATAAGTCAATTAACGCTGTTCTAAAGACACGGAGATATTTTTGACAGACGGATGGCTAAATAGAAAAACGCTCTCAACTTCGTGCGTGCAACCGTCTGTTCGCGATGAGTGATCGTTCCGACGTTATAACTCGATAGTCGAAGGTCGAGGCGGCGATCGCATCCATTGTGTCTGGGACTTCCAGTACCCAGATGCCTGCTGCTACCCAAGGGGAAGACGATCTCCTCAAATATTCAGGAGATCGCGGAGGCTAACTGCCGGCTCACCGTGTCCGAGATTTCAGGAAGATTGCGGCCCGTCCTTGAATTTATGCCCGCTATTACCTGTACTTACTCGGGAACGAGCACCGCGCTTAATATACCGCTCGTCTCGATTGTTTTAAAAGTGACTGGCGATGATCGGGAATAATTTGGACGCTCTCGAAGAATTTAGGTGAACAACAAGCATTCGATGAACTCAATCGAGAACGAATGTGTGTCCGCGCTCGAAATTGAGAATTAATTCTCGGTAATTGCTGTGCATCCCGAGAGTTTTCTTGTCTTATTAACATTGTACTGCTTATGTTTTAGATCAATGGGATGACAATGCGACTCACCATGATGACCAAAGGTGGAGTCCAAGTCCACCTTCAGCTCGTCTTTGTCGAGAAGCTTATCGTGCCTGGGCGAATGACCGCCAGCACCGGAGCCCTTCATACTGCGAAAGTATTGCGACCACCTTGTCCGACCAGCGTCTTTCTTCAGCCTTTTCTCCTTCGCCCTCCTACAGGTGAGAAATTATAATGATGATAATTTACAACGATCGTCGCTGTGCACAGTAAAAATTATATATTAAATTATATGTTAAATTTAACACATTTCACAAGTGGTCGCGCATCCCAAACGGTTCACTCAAATTTTTGTGTTAATTTAACATAAAGTGAATGTGTTGAAAAATAACACGATTATTATGTCAATAATTCACACAAAACTAATATCCTTAAAATATCGATCGACATTGAAGTATAAAATGTGTTATTTTGACATTTACAAGTGTTATTTTAACACTTATACGTGTTGTATTGTACATTTGTATAAATTCTTAATTTTATAAACAATAATGATAATGTAAAACGGTTCGGCTAAAGATGAATTTATATATTAAATAACAACATGATTAACTGCACAAATATTCGGAGTTCTGTATTTCCCAGTGTTATGTAAAGATAGTGCCGCGTATTATATTTGTATGTATCGATAAAAATATCTGAAAATTGATATCGAAATTTCTAACGTGAAAGTTGCCTTTTATCGCTCTAATATCGCGAACACCGATAAAGCCTCGAAAAAGAATAAATTCTGGAAGTGATAAACAACTCTCTTATGCTCACTGCACTATGTACCGCACATCGAGTATTTATGATAAATGACGCTCTCGTATCTCGAATATCTCGTATAAATTTCTAATTCCTATTATATGGCGTACCGTGTCGTAGGCTTTCTAAAAACAAAATATATCTTATCTCACGGCGGCGTACATTAATCTCGCATTACGTCAAGTACCGGCGCGAGTTCGCTGGAAAATTGTGTTGCACGTGCGCATTTTATAAATTTACGTATACGTGTTTTATGTAGTATATTTACCTCCAGTCATTGATAGAAACCTTATTTACTTATCCTTCATGTTATTTTCACGGACGCTTTCTAACACCATTACCACCTGATAAGCAACTACGTCTCCGCTTTTACAGATAAAGCATTTTTCTCCATACGGCGAAACGGATACTTTGTCGTACGATATCACGTAGTGCCACTTGAGCGATAAGAGGGAAAAATGAAGACGTACGGTTAGAAAGTACGCATACGAACATAGCGCGACCGTAGTGTACGTAGGACAAGTTTTTGTGTCGAGACACGTCATCTCCTGATTATATAAGGAATTTCATAATGTGCAGGCATATTTGTATGAACTTTTTGTAGTATTTTTATCATGAATTCATTTCTGAAATTATACCCACATGTTATGAAACACCCTGTATACGATTCTCGTTTAATTCGATTTTTTCAATTGCAAAGTGAAAATTCACCTTAAAATTAATGGGTACGCGTGTTTCAACAATCAATTACGTAATTTCGTACTTTCCTAACGTTGAAAGGGATGATATATTTCGTCGGATTCCAGGCGAGGATCTCTCGATTGCTTCCTTTATAAATGGCTTCAGAAACCATATCAGAAGCCACGCGAATGCTGTATCCTAACGATGAATCAGTACCTCCCTCTTAATTTGATGATTTCGTTGGGATCCTAAATTAACTTTTCTCTTAGAATCTCTACACGAATTGTCTTTCGCATTTGCCGGTTTACACCAAGTGTGATTAAACGCGGCACTTGTATCGATTCCACTGAAACCAAGAAGAATCCCTGTTTTGTCGTACGTGTCCGCTTAGACCGCGCGTGAGACAAATGTAAGGGAACTCCGGGAATTCGAGGAATCCTGTAAAAGTGGTCCTTCTTACCTATTTTGAAACCAGACTTGAACGACGCGCATATCGAGGCCGGTGTCCTGAGACAGCTGTTCTCGCACGTGTCTCGCTGGTTTCGGACTGGTGTTGTACGCCAGCTTGAGAGTCTCGAGCTGCTTCGCCGTGATCGTCGTTCGCGGCCTCTTGTTAGGCTGATCGCCGTCTATGCTTCCCCCGTCCGCTAATTCTGGAATCCGGGTCAATCATACGTTACATTTCTCCCGTCGATTTTTACTCCATCGATTGACACACACACACACATACACTCCATTCGTTGGTTATATCCAAGAGGCATCCGAGAGCCCGCTCGGTTCCTCTGAGATACGCCGCGCTTCGTGCGTACGTTCTCTCCCGCCGTCGAGAAAAATGACAAAATTAGCCGGAACAATTTTTCCGCCGCGTTCTAATCTTAAGAAAAGAACTCTCATCGCCGTTCGTATGTATCAGTGCATGTACGCGAGATAAAAATGCACAAGTCAGCGGCGAAAATTATTTACTCGGGATTAAACCGAGACACCGAGGTGGGGAAAAAAGTCATAGGTTAATGAAATTAGGCGCGGCGGTGGCGGAAGGATGAAATTCGCGAGAGGCGAGAATCGTCCTCGCAAGAATGGTATCTGCCGGCAGCAGATAGTAGGGGAAGGTCAAAGGGTAACGGTAGAGCTTATCTCACCTTTCGCCTTCGCTTGCTCGTAATCGGGCTTGCAGACGAGCTTCCTATCTTCCATGAGATAAAACTCGTCGCCGGTGTCCAGTTGGCGAGAGCAAAGGGCGCACGAGAAACACGTCAGGTGGTAAACCAACTCCTGCGCCCTTCGTACCACCTGCGAAGGCGCCAGACCTTGGCCGCAGCCCGCGCATTTCGTCCCGAAACGCCTGCCACACCAACAACATACAACATTTTCACATTACATTCACACATTAATGACAAAACTATATGCTGTCGTATATGCTTAGAAATTCTAATCGCGATAATTAGCCCGATGCGTGAAAATCGGGTCGACGCGCGGTGGGACGCGGAAGAACAATGTGGCGCTCGTAATGATCCAGAACGACGCTTCGGTTAGCGAAAACGATGACTTTTTCGATCAGCAATTCGAAAAGTCTGAAATATAATTCGATGTAAGATCCGGCGACATTGCGAGGGCGATTTCTCGATAGCGATGTTCGAAACAAAAGATCGGGGAGGGTATGAGAGATAGCGTGGCGAAGAGTATGACTAAAAGAAAAACGATTTAACTTCGAGGGGAAGAAAAATGGCGCCTTGTCTTACGGACAAATGAGGAAGAGCACGCTACCCTCTTTCTCGGCGGAATCGATACCGGAATACTCGATATACGTGCTTCGAGAAACAACATTTCTCCCACTTTCCGTCATATATACTTCGCCATTATCAATAAGTCGATAAGTCGAACAAATAATGTCGGAGAAAAAGAAAAAGCAGTCGGCAAGATTTATTTCATTTCCTTCTTTGATACATTTTTTCATCGAGGTAAAGTCACTTTCTTTACGATCAATAAGAATGGCTGAGACTCATTTCAATAAGAATGGTAGGCCGTGACAAATATAGCAGGTAAAACGCTCGCAAAAGATGATCTTTTAGCGCATACGAAGATAATCCGTTCAATTATATTACGAGTATATTTTTGAATTATAGGGGAATAATTAAAACGGTTTCTCGAAATAATGAAAACGTTTGTTGGAAACATATAATTGAAATAATCAATTAATATTTTATAATTTACTAATTAATGGAACTATTAATAAATAAAATAAATGGAACTATTTACGAGTTTTAAAGTTATGTAATGTGAAATTTACAAGAATACGGGAACGCTTTGAAAAATGTTAATTTACAGGGTCGCTCAATATCTCGGAAATATTCAGTGTTAAGTTAGCAATTATTGGTGCTTACTTGAAGAAGTCGTCCTTGCAGAACACATGACCGTTCCTCGCGAAGCATTTGTCGGTCAACCTGGCACCGCAGTCCCGACACGTGAGGCATCTTGCATGCCAACACCTCTCCAGCACCCTTAAAACGTATTTGTCCAAAATAACTTCTTGGCATCCCCCGCACTTCGGTATCGAGGCTGCAACATAACGATTGAAGCAATGAGCCGGGTTCCTAAGTCGAAGCGCACGACGACAGGTGCTACAAGGTAATAGCAGTACCGGCGATACAAGGATCATAAAACGTCGTCATTTCAAGATAGTTAAGAAACGGAGCAAGATAGTTTAAGATAACATTTTATTATGTACTATTACGGCGGAGTAATTAATCTCACTATCAAGGTCTGCCTGTTACGCGAACACTTCTCTGTTACGTCAACACCTGCGGATAAGACAGTAGCGCACGTACTTGATCTTTTCGTTCGGCCCTCGATAATCGACGTAAGAATCGTTTTCGCGTATCCTCGGGGTAGAAAGTCGAATCGACGACTTCCACGAACGAGCAACTCGAAGAACATCGAGTAATCTCGACGGTTCCGATCAATCTCGGCCTATTGCAGCTCGTCGACACTTACAGTAGAGGATCTCCGGGATATGCGGAGGCAGCTCGATGGCGGGCTGATCTAACGGGTGCATGTCTCCGTGCGATATCGCAGAGCCGACGCTGTCGATACGATCCGCGCTGCTGCCTTCCTGGCGAACGTTCCGCGACTCCGGGCTACTCTGCGGCGTCAGGACGTCGTGCCGCCGCGACTGGTACATCCCTTCCAGAGGGAGAGCCTCGCATCCTAACATCTCCAGGCTTATCATAGTCATAGCTGCTACCTTTGCGCGCGCGACGCCGCACTCGATGCTATTATCTAGGTTCTTTCGCGACGTGCTCTCGACCAGAGAACCATTCTGCGTCACGAGAGATTACCGGAAGAGAGAGAGAGAGAGAGAGGGATATCGCCCACTCGGGACCTAGCAATCCTTTTCACCGAGACAAAAGCAGATATCTTCAGCTGCTCGATATCTTCACGAAAGTGCAATGCCAGACGCTGATAACGGAGATGACGTTGTTTGGCGGATAATTCGAGTTCGTTTCAAACGGACCCGCAGAATGATTTTGCACAGGATCACTTCTCAATATTTGAAAGCGAACGTATTGTGCAGAATGAAACGAGGCTGCTTTCTCTTCGACGCTCCTTTTTTGAACTACTCTCTCGTTGAAGGCCTCTGGCAAATCTATATTCCAGGCCCAGAGAAGTTACCACCTTCGCACCTGCCTGGGCTGCTCCGCTTGCTGCCTGATCAGCGCTCAAAGTTCACGGATTGCACGAAATTCACTCAGACGAACACTTCCAGGTATACGACGCTGTGGTATCTTCAGTTGAAACTTTCTTTTAGATTATAATCGTGAATAACATCGATATTACGGATGTTTATTGCAGAGTTTTCACAATCCGGATAAACAAGTCAACTATTCGTTAATTTTATCTTATCGCACCGATACTTCTTTGAACATCGGCGCCTGTGGAGGTCAGTATCGTCGGCCGAGCCTGTCGACTTCGGCGGGATTTCCGCCTTGTAGAATTCCGCTGATCACTTCACGTCCGTCTGCGGTCTGCGTAAGTGTCTCCTCGCTTCGTTTGTTCCATCAAACACCAGCCGAGTTCATCAAAACTAAGCGACACTAACTTGTTTTACAAGCGACGTCTGCTCATTTCTTCTTCCAATTAACAAAACAGCCCAATAGTGCAACTTCAGTGTCCTACCTCAATGAAAACTCATAGTCTCTCCTTGTATTAAGATTAACGCTTCCTCCAAGCGCACCTTCGTTCTCATTCGACGACAATCATCAGACAACGCACTTCCGATTACCGGTAATGAAACTCGATAATTGCGGAATTTCAGAGACTACCATCGTCAACTTCGACTGGTCCAGGCGCGAGCACCTTCCTCTCCACCAACGAGAGCAAGTACGGCAGCCGACGGGGTGAGCACAGTGCGAGAGTACGCGCGCGACTGCCTGATCAGCGGCTCATGTTGCTCGTGCGCACGTGACACACGTGGGTGTGGCGGCTCTCTGGTGGGGCACGTGTCTGGGTTATTGGGTGCGGACGGCACCCACGCCGGCGTGCCGTTGGGTGCCGATTGGAGAGGAGCTCGACCGCCTCCAATATGGCGCACGCCACCGAACGACTCCGGCGCACCGGGGGTGCTCCGCTACCCCTGACGCCTCCGGCGCGGGAGATGAGAGGATGAAGGAGCCAGAGGAGCGGCGGCCCCCGTCGGTCGTGTGCTCATGGTGGACGATATTAATCCTTTCGGACGGAAAGTCAGAGGTAAGACGCCGAAGGTAAGCCGATCTTTGTGCGCGTGCATTTCTCTCCCTGGCTCGCGTTCCCGTTGTCGACGAGGGTTGCGTGTGGAACGAACTATCACTGCTTTCCCCACGCAGATCCGCGCCACTCTGCTCGTGGCCGCGATAAGCGATGAACGATCAAGCGATAGAGGGACGATAAGGCGATGATAAGTCTACCCACGCCGTTTACGCATTTTTGCGGATAAAGTCCGCCGAGTGACGCCCGGTGAAATCCAAACCGACGGACGACGGATCCGCGCAATTTCCGGTCTCATCGCGAAAAATGCCCCGTCGCTCGCAAAGAAAAACTTACTCGGTGTCCACCGCGAACTTGTGCGGAAAAAAGTTCGTATCAATTCAAGAGTATTCTTATAATAAATCCCTCTAAGCAAGAATATACAGGGTATTCTAGCATGAGGAGAACACCGAAATATTTTCCTTGTTTTTAATGACGTGAGAAATGTTTATTGCACAATGAATTTGAATAGTTTCGAGGGAGATTTGAAGACATAGTTCTTTCTATTCAATATTTCTTTCTCCTCAATTCATGAAAATTATTCTTCAATAATAAGAATTTGATATTCTTAGTGGAATTATATAGAATTTCTTCACGTAAGCAAGTTTTATCTTCACGCAAGAGTACATATTTTTCCTTCTATATGAGAATATGAGTCTTGAACTGATACTAATTTTTCCCGTGTACATTCGTTAAAATGTGGAATATATAGACATTCATCGCGGCTCAGCAAATTCACACGAGGGAGCGACGGGGGAGGAGGGAGCCAACAAGAGGAACCTTATTTCACCGGGTATTGAAAATTCCCGGAAAATAAGAGCGTTAGGTCTGCGCCTAATAACGCGACACATCAAGTCCACGGCTTATCGGCGCGTCGTGACGGTCGTATTCATTGGAATCGCGTCGCGCAAAAGAATTCAAGAATCATCCTCCAGGGATTCCTTTGAGCACGGGCTACTGCTTCCCTTCGATTCGGTAAGCAACGAGGAGTTGCCGCAGTAAGTAAAGATAGCGGAGGCCCGTAATAGAAGGAGAAGGAGGAGATGAAGAAAGGAGCAAAGAGGAGGAGACGATAAGAGAGAGAGAGAGAGAGGGCGAGGACAAAAGGAACCGAGCGAAATTAAGAACGGTCATGGGGATGAGGGACGCCATTTTATAATCTTGCTCGAGATCATTCGCGTATATTTCTTCTCCGTTCTTCGCCTCCCCCTCCTCGTTTTGTTTCTTTCTTTTTGTCCTTTCCCCTGTTCTATGCTCGCGCATATTCGACCGTACGCGGATCGATTGTATAAGCGCTTATGTGTGTTTTCTTTTTAGATCGTGAAGGGCGAGAATTTTGATGCTACTTTAACGCTCTTGAAGGTAATTTGCACCTACTTAAAGGGCTGTGGATTAATAGAAACCTATTTCGAAGATACTAACACTTATTAACTTCTTGCAGTGGTTTCACTTTCTTGCTTTCTTTGTAAGTATTGTGTTGACATCACTTATAACTGTTTGTATTTTAGACACATATACTGCGATTCCACTGAAGAAGGTCAAATATGGTCGAAACGTTTGAATTTGAATTTGAATAAAATTATGTAACGATATAACTAATTGATTTGTTTAATGTTGCACTACACTAACTATATTTGGCTTTTCATGGCTCAATAATTTATATTTCAACAATTTAGCAGAGCTTTACTGACATTTTACATCAATTATTAACTTCTCTCTTGAACTTTTAATTCTACAAGGGAATAAATTAGTATCAATTCAAGATTATATTTCTCATATATAAGCAAGAATATATAATCTTATATATAATCTTATATAAAGATAAAACTTGCTCTCACGAAGAAATTCTATATAGCTCCCCTAAAAATATCACATATTCTTATTACTCTATTTCATATATTATTCTACTTATATTCTATTCTATTTATTACATATGAATTGAGAGGAAAAAATATTGGATAGAAAGAACAATATCAGCATGCATGTGTTTCACGCAGACCGGCTCGATGAAAATCGCACAGAGACGCGCTGATCGATGCGCGACATTTCCCTAACGCGTCACGGCGATCGTTAAATTTTCCACCTGACCACGGGCTAACAGATGGCACGGGGAGCTTTCTGTGCGCACGCTTCATGCCCATAAAATCTGTCATGCATACGCGTCGCTGATATTACCGCCGAAAGGGTGTACCGGCGAAAGTAAGCCGCGCGATAAATGGAGCTGCCCGATTTCTATATCAACTGCCACGCCACATGAATGCGTTAAATGTGTATCGCGCTAAGGTCGCGCAGGGTATATTAAATGATTCAACTGTGAAGGAAGCTCGCGCGAGCTTCCCCTGTCAGCTATGTACTCGCGCACAGCAGATTTTAAACTAATTGCTTTAGCCCCCAGCAGTTTTTAATAGAAAACCGCTGGACATTTCAGCTTGCAAATATGAGAAATTGCCATATTTTTTAACATTTTAAACCGCCTTCGAAAAAAAGAAAGTTTTGCACGCAAAGAAGAAGAATTTCGCAGAACTATTTTCCGCGGGTGTCATTTGTAAGTGACAGAGTAAAAAACCTTTTGTGCTTATATTAAAATCGGTTCCTGTTAATATTTCTGTGTTCAACTTTTAATGTGAATGTATGTGAATTTAACATATAGTGTTTATGTTATTTCAATATATTTTGTGTCGAGTCGGTATTAAACGTATGTAAGTATTAAATCAACACTTGCAGGTGTTAAAATAACATTTTATACTTCAGTGCCAATATAACATATTGAGGATATTAATTTTGTGTTAATTCTTCACATAATATTTGTTACTTTTCAACATATTTTCAACTAGTGTTAAATTAACATGAAAATTTACGCAGACCGTCTGAAACATGTGGAATGTGTGTGAATTTAACACGAAATTTTTTATTATGTACAATTCACGAAAGGATTATATTATCTCCGTGTTAATGATATCGTCGCATCCCGAGTGCCTCATTTCTCAACTTCTAGATCTTGTTAGAGAACTAGCAATAACGAAGTCCGACTCGCTCGCCGACGGAGCGGATTCGTCGTCAGGACTTTGCTGTGGACGCAATTACCGTGCGCCACGTCGGCTCTGTTCTCACGAATCGAACGGGAACTTTCGACCTCGGCGTCTACGACGATCCTGTCTCGAATTCGGCGGCGGGGGTGTCTTTGCGATTGCGCGACCTCGTGACTTCCGTGGGCGTCCTTCCCGGGCTTCGATCACGCGAACCCACCCTTTGTCGGTTCCGCTGCACACACGTCGACACGCCTCCAGGAGTCGTCCGTCACCGTAAAAAGCGTCGCCGCGGGGGGTTGCAGGAAGAGCCCGTGGCGGAAGGGTGGAGGACGCGTCGAACCGCTCGTTTCGCGCACCTACACCTAGTTCGCGCAGGGTTTATAGTTGCGCGCGGTTTTATCGCTGCGGAGCTTCTGGTGTCGCG